TAGGACGTTTCAGATAATTTCGTGTCGGAACCAGACTTTCTAAGCAACTGCCGGAAATTCTTAAAATTTTCAACTAAACTAACCTAACTAACTCCTAATCTTATAAATTACCCTCAATAACACTAATATAATCTTAATAAAAGCTAACCTGGGATTTCGAATTTGACAGCTATCACATATCATGGCATACATTATTGAACCGATGGCTGAAGCATAGGGAACACCCTTCATGCGGTTCATGTCCTCTTTAGTACTAGGACATTGAGTTCTACTCAGTTGTATGTCGTATACCATTGGCAAGTTTCCTCTCTTGGAACCCTCCATCTTAAAGCGTTTCAATATTTTGTCAACGTATGTACTTTGGCTTAATCCAATTAAGCGCTTAGATCTATCACGATAGATCTTTATGCCAAGAATGTATGTTGCCTCTCCTAAATCCTTCATCGCGAAACATTTCCCTAACCATGTTTTTACTTCCTTAAGTGTTGGGATGTTGTTTCTGATGATTAGTATATCATCGACATATAGGATTAGGAATACTATTATGCTCCCACTGACCTTCTTGTATACACAAGGTTCATCTTCGTTTTTTATGAAACCAAATTCCTTGATTTTCTCGTCAAAATGAAGGTTCAAACTACGAGATTCAAACTACGAGATGCTTGCTTCAGTCCATATATAGACTTCTGCAATTTACATACCTTACCATGATACTTTGGGTGTTTAAAACCTTCTGGTTATACCATGTACACGTCCTCACTTAAGGATCCGTTAAGGAATGTAGTTTTAACATCCATTTGCCATATCTCATAGTCATGATATGCAGCTATGGCAAGTAGGATCCTGATCAATTTTATCATAACTACTGGAGAAAAGGTTTCATCATAATCTACTCCTTGAGTCTGTGTGAAACCTTTTGCTACCAACCTAGCTTTATAGGTATGTACAATCCCATCCATGTCAGTTTTGTTTTTGATAATCTACACATGCTTAGATTCTTTTTCTTTAGTGGAAGTATATGTGTTCTTTGTGTGTGACCCTTTAGGTTTACATGACTCGTTGGCAGCGTATCTGAGTGACACGTGTCATGGGTATAACATACAACTTATATTTTGTGTATAGGCTACCAAATTAGAATCACCACCAAATAATGATTCTAAAGAATCTCAAAGGAAAAAATTTATTGGAATCATTTTTGCAACAACAACAAATGGACGTGCCGGAAAACATGAACGACGTTGATAGATATTTGGTTGATGGATCTATCAATCCAAAGACTTCGTCATTTGACGTAGTACTTTGGTGGAAAGATAATACTAATAGGTATAACATTTTGTCTATGATAGCTAGAGATGTTCTTGCTATACATATATCTACCGTAGCATCTAAATCCGCCTTTAGTACTATTGGTCGTATTTTAGACTCATTTAAAAGCTCTTTGAGTCCAAAAATGGTGGAGGCCCTTGTATGCACAAAAAGTTGGTTGAAAGAGAATAATGAGGGGATTCAAATAAGTGAATTTTTAGATGAAATTTCATCTTATGACTTTCTTGAAGACGGTAAACTTAACAATGGTTCTTTTTTCATGCTTATATAGTTACATATTCTTAATAAATTCATTAAATTGTTTAATATTCTTTTTGAATTGTAGACAAGCTCAAGGAGAATGCAACATTGGAGTCGGAAAGGTCAAAGACAGTCGTACTTGATTGAGCATTTAAATCGTACCAAATTATGTGAGTTATGCTTAGGCTATATGGGATGCATAGTTCTTCTTTTGTTGTTTTTAGCGGTAAGTTGTTCTTATTTATTTTGAACTCTTTGGTTGAGTAATGTTCCGTGCAACTTCTAATCTCCTATTGCACCAACTTTTGCAGGAAAGCATTGTAGAACGAGATGACTATAGGATCCTAATTTCCTATTGCACCAACTTTTCCCAAGGACACATACTTTGACATATGGAAATGGGAAGTCTGTTGCTCGCATCGAACTTCTGAAAATTGATTTCAAGACTTGAGGATTTAGTCTTTAGATATATTTTTAGATGATTGTAATAACTAATAACTTTGTTGGGTATATTTTTAGTATTATTTATCATATTTCATTTGCCAATTTTATGAGTTTTAGTAACCCGCCAACCCAACCCAACCCGCCCTAACTCGCAAGGGTTAGGTTGGGTTGAGATTTCCCAAACCGCCATAATTGGGTTGAGTTGTAAAAATGTCATAAACCGCCCAACCCAACCCGTGTTCACCCCTATCAATGGTAATCTTCAAAGTGAACAAGCAAGCTATCACTGAATATCCATCATATCTGAGCAAATATGGCTTCTATGAGTGGTTAGAGATTTGGAACGCAATCCAGAAATCCAAATCAAATCATAAGGTGTTGGTCCTAGACCAATATACAAGAGTTTATAGGTAACAATTTGTAGAAGGGGAGATGAATACGAACACATAGTTTTCATTTTTTTTAAATCCTTTATTAACATGAGAAAAACAATATAGAATTTACAGATCGTTTGCGGAAGAAGTTAAGATACATAACTTATCTAAACAATCTAGGAAGCATACAAGATATAGAAAAGCAAGAGAGAAAGTTCTTCTTTTAGCAAATGTTATAACTTTGCTTTAGAGTAAGCTTACATGTATGTGTTATTCTTCTCTTTATGGAGAAGAGAGTCTCCTTAGCTATTTATACCCATTGCATTTAATGTAAGTTAGAGGGTGCAAAGCACGTGACAAACTTCTAGAGGAGAGCTTGTTGTTTGTCTTCAATTATACATGTTTTTGACTGTATATGAATAATAGCCTTTCACAAAGTAGGTAAGCATGCTTTGAGGCAATAGAGTGACTCCGTACGTTTGCTTTACTGTGTGAGGTATGGGGTTGTCTTTTGTATGCAGGAGGATAAGACAAAAACTAATCTTGTAGAGCAAGATTCGTTGATCACTGGCACTAGCATAACTATAGGGTTTCTTCAGTGTTCTTTGAATCTTGAATAGATTTCACACTTGATTGTAGGCATGCTTGTTATCACTGAAACCGCCTTAGATCACAAACCATTTGTCTTTGTTTTCATCTATATCTTCAACAATGCCGAAGGTTTCTTTGGTGTGATTTTTGTCTTCTTGAATAATACTTGTTCATTAGGAAAGTTTAAATACATGTTCAACGATCACTGAACAAACTGAGTGATGATTACTGAAATTGAACAAAATAGAACTAAGTATTTTTTGCTAAGTATAAAGGATCTTCATCAAATCACTGAGAGAGTTTGGATCAACAATCCCCCCTATTTGATGATGACAAAGAAACATAAAGAAAATTGCTTAGTTGTTACAGTATGGAAAAATAACTTGTAAGATACACGTCTCTTTTACTGTTTTTGGGATCCTTTCAGTATCAGAGTATATTATGGAAATTCACTTATTTGTAAAGGATTACAAAGAAAAGAATGAAATTACATAACATAGATAACTCAACACTGAGAGCATATTAACTGACAAAAAATAAGTCAGAGGATATAAGATAAATAGTTATCGTAAGCATATTTCCCATTTACTCTTTCACGGATCCTTTTCAGTACATTGAAATATCATTCAAGTTAAAATATTACAAGTGATTACAATTGGTTTGGTAGGCTTAAAAAAAACTATACACTGAAAGAAAAGAAAAGTATGAGGGTTTTAAATCGAGATCTTTGAAGGAGATGTATTCAAAAACATCTTCTTCTTGATTCTTTCTTTTCAACTTTTATTTTCTAATCATACGATCCATCATCTCTCCGAGAAGGTCTTCGTTCAACCAAGTTCGAAAAATACTCCAAATGATCTGTTGGGCAGAGATGGAACTCAGATACTTACTAAAACCTATATTGACCATTATAATCAATGAACATAAGTCCATACTCAGGTTTCACATGCACTGAGTGGAAGTAAAGGGTCTCTTCTCAAGTAGTGTCAGATTCAATATTGAGATATCTGACTTCTTTCTGTTCTTGAAGAGTTCATCCACTTAGAATTTTGTTTTATGCTCGTTCTTGTGGGATGGACTTTCTCCACGATCAAAAAGGGTTTTTCTTCTTCGAGAGGTCTTCAGTGGTAAAGATGGAACCTCGATGATCTTCAACACTTTTTTGAATAGTTCATTCAGAATTTCTTCAATGTAAGCCTTATGCTTTGATTTGGACTTTCGAATTGCATGTCGAATTTCAAGCCACTCATAGAATCCATACCTGCCAAAAAGGAGGGATACTTCATTATGACATCATGGTTCTCTCGGAAGATGACCATATAAATTAGAAGACCATCATCTTTCATCCGTCCGCTGATTGTGACATTTGAAATTCTGCTCATGATCCTTTAGTTTCAATACTCTTTGATTTTTCTGTTCAACTTCTTAAGTCAAAAGTACGGCTTGAGCACTGATGAAATCACTTTGCGTGAACTTCCCTTCAACATGAGCTTCATCAGCTACAGCTAGAGCCTTGGCTAACTCTAGACTATCTTTGAGTTGCTGTTGATGCTGTTTCAGCTGTTGATGCTGTTTCAGCTCTTATGCAGCTTTCAAATATTCTTCTCATTCAGTTTCATAAAAGAAGTCGAACTCACCACATCCAAAGATACGAAGAAGAATTTTTACTGTGGATTGGTCAAGTTGACTTATAAGCTGAGCCATCCTCATGTCTTCTTCAACCTCAGAGCACATGGACTCACAGTTTTATAACACTTCTAATAGATAAGGTATCCAGTTCCTTATAAAACAACTTTTATTTTCCTCCCAAACCAATGTAAGATCTTACAATCCACCCCCGTCAAGATTTTGATACTATCTGTAATATACCATAACAATCTTAACAGTATTGACCGCTTTGTCCCTACACATAAACTTACAATTTTAAGAGGCGTCTAATATGGAAAGTATAAATTTCTTTTTAAGACACCTAAGTGGATAAATTGAATCGACCGGACCTCAGCATAGAAATTAACTTTCGTTCACCTATGTATGTGGGATCTTACACATAAAGATCCTGTTTATTCGGTTCAAATAGAGACGGGTCTAATTTGCAAAAGCTTCCATTTTTAAACCCAAACAGCCAAATCGAAATACCGGGGTCTCATGTAAGAGAAACGAAATCGGAGAGGCCTGAAGCACCCCAATTAGAACGATCCTCTGTTTCCTCTTCCTCCAATTTTGCTAATTATCGACTGGACTAACCAATTTCAGTTGATAATCGAATTTCATGGCGGTATGAATTCCATTTCACAATTTGTTTTCATGAAAAAAATCACATTTTAATCTAAGATTTTCGTTGGTTTTTTGTAATTTTCGATTTGATAGGATTCTTCCGGAACCACGTTGATGGATCTCATTAGTTCAGATCCTACATCGGTACCTCCACCCTCTTCCACGCCAGCGCAGGCTTCAACGGCGTCGCATCAGCGGTCTGCAAGCCCGTTTAGTAAACCGGTTGCGGCACCGACAACTACTGACCGCAAGTCTAAGAGATCGACTTTGATGCAGATCCAAAGCGATGCGGTTTCTGCTGCCAGAGCCGCTGTTCGTATACCCCATAAACACAAGAAAAAGGCAAGATTGTATACCATGATGAATCTTCACTGCAAAGTCGGATATTGATGGATATCATGTTATTTAATTCGATGAAATATGGAGAATGTTGTGTAATTTGTAGCTATAACAATGAACAAATATGTAATTTTAGCTTGAAATTTTGCCAAAAAAACAAAAGAACGGCTAGTAACGTGAGATATCCCAGAATGTAAATTGTGGCAATTTCATTGGAAATATATGGAAATATAATTGTGCTATTTCAACATATAATTAGGCAGAATTGTAAGTCACTTGAGTTGATTTCAGTTGGTTGTCCTTCATCCTATGCTAAAGTTTAAAATAAGGAGACCCAAGATATTACTGATATGTTTGTCTCAAGTTAGCGATACCTTGATCATTTTGATGTTCCCTAATTTGACATTGACCTTTTTGCTTGTGAGCGGTTCAATATCTAATTTAGAATCAGTGTTTTATATTGGCTTGTGACCTTTTACCTTCCTTATTTCATACTGGCTAATTCTTTTTAAGCTCTTTTATATAGCCGGTTTCTTATGCACAACTTGCAAGGAGTATCCATGAATTGGCGGCTTCATCAGACCAAGTATGATTTCTATGCCTGAACTTGAATAACTATAGATACCACATATCTCATTGGGTATCCGCTAAATTGTAATTTTTGTATTGCATCTCTGCAGAAAAAGTCCCAGAGACAGTTGGTGCATCATGTGTTCCCGAAACTTGCAGTGTATAACTCTGTTGATCCGTCTCTTGCACCTTCTCTTCTTATGGTATGAACTTTTTTGTTTATATTTCTCACTTCTAAAATGTGTAGTGTGTACATTTGGAAGATTGTTGATAAATTATAAATTACATGACTCTTCATAACCTACAAGTGGATGCCACATCCCTTTTAAAATATAAGACCATTTTGCTAAAATGCTCATATATAATGAACTTTTTGTTTGTCTCTTATAATAAGTTATGACACATCTGTAAATATGGATATAGTAACTGGGTTGAATATCTATTTCAATATACATCATTTACTTTTTACAGAACCCTATAAACATTGTGAAACTAGTAGTTTCCTTTGTTGCATAAAATTGCAATGTTTGCTATTTGTGATGAATTTTTAAGATCTATCTCACTTGACCTTTTTGTTGTTATTCCTTTTTCTTCTGATCTTTGTATTTAGGGTTGCTGTCTATTGATCTATGGTTGGTATAAGTTTTTGATAGTGAAGTAAACCTTTAGTCATGATGTGTGCTTTTCCTCCATCTCCCTTTTTCCCTAACTCTATAGCTTTAGGTGTTGCTTCAGAAACTTTACTTAAAGTAGGCTTGATAGTTTATACATGATGTCCCTGAACCATGGTTAGCTAGAGCTCTTTGCAGCTGAATTTTGTGTTACAAAATCACTTGTGATTTTCTGGTGAAATAGAGCTTCTGCTAATGATCATTTATAAGTCCAACTTCTGCTTGTGTATGTTACATAGCAATTTTGTTGGACATATCTATCTTTTCTATTTCTATATTTTATTGGCTTGACATGTGCTCTTAAGAACATTCCATGGCCTCTGCAATTTTTCTATAGAATTTCATGTTGGTTTGGTTGCTGATTGATTACAACATGCAAGTACAAATTTATATTCTTGTATTCTTTTATGTTCCATTTGTAGCTTGGTCAGCAATGTGAGGATAGGACTATTCTACGTTATGTTTATTATTACTTAGCAAGAATATTGCCGGATACTGGAGCACAAGGTCTAACTCCGGGTGGTGGGATTCCTACCCCTAATTGGGATGCTTTAGCTGACATTGATGCTGTTGGTGGAGTCACAAGAGCAGATGTTGTACCTCGAATACTAGATCGACTTTCTTCAGAGGCCTTAAATCCTGATATTGAATGTAAGTTATTCCCTGGTTTAATTTGCCATGTCTTACTCTTAGCCATCTATATTATATATCCATCTTTTGGTTTCTTTTGTGCCTATAAGTTGCAAGTGACGAAGATAATTTTCAGAGGAATTTGATGAGTCTGATTATGATGTCTTCAGTGTGGAGTTTTAGGACATGCCCAGTATCTGATTATATGCATAAAGCACCACTGATGTCTGATCTAATTCATGTGTCACATATGTTAGAAATTTGGTAATATTAAACGTTCTCACTAGGCCGGATTCATTATTTCTTGACAAGATGCTATTTGGAACCATAGCTTATAACATGACTGAGAAAGTTATTATATTAATACAAATAGCAAAATTTCACTGCTATGGTAATCAAATACCAAACGAAGCATGGGTACAGGCATGCAATTGAGATGATTGCTTGAAGTTAAGAAAGCCATTAGCCATGTCTGTTCGGACTTTAGATTTTCGATTGTTAGATATTGTACATTGTTAGATAGTTAAGCGTTTGCTTTCTAGAGATCTAAAGTTTAGTTTCATAACATTCGTTACTATTTTGTGTATAAACGGTTGTAATCTCATCTATACAAGACATAGATTCCCTGAATGAGTTACACAGATAAAGCTGAGCAAAATTGGGATCTAGTAACTGGGTGGCTAGTCATTATGTTGGCATGTTGCAGTGGATGTACCATCTGATGATAGTGCTCTTGGTCCACATGGAGGCCTTAATTTTTTGTGGTGGCAAGCTGTTCAGTCTGTTTTGCTTTTTATTAATTGCAAGTGAACATATGTCTATGCCATAAGCATTTGGTAGCATGTATCAATCTTCATTCGAACTCTTACATCATTCACTAGTGCAACGAAACTTCCTGGTATCTTAACAGCTAATTTTGTTAACAAGTTTGATCCCTGTGCTCAAGCTGAATGAAAAGAACTTCTCCATTAAGAAATCCGACTTGCATCTTAGATTATTATTTTCAGGTAATATATGAATTTTAATCGTAAATAAGTCATTCGGGTGATTTTAACTCTTCTTCTCATGATAATGTCCTAAAAATTTGCCATGAGTTCCGCCTCCTTTCCAAAAAATGTCCTAAAAATTGGGAACTGGCAGTGATGGGAAATCCTATAGGAAGGTGCACCAAGAAGCAAAATAAATTGCAGGTTTATTCTAAGAAATATTGTGAACTATTTTCAACCCAGAATGTAACCGAAGGGGAATTTTTAACTTTTGCCAGTTGATTCGAGCTTTATTCCAGGAAATCTTTCTGTTTAACTGGTAAATATTGGCTGAAACCCGCAGGTTGTGTACTTGTTTCTGAATGCATTATCCCTTCTAATACGATAACAGTAATAAGAAATGGATGTTCCTTATCTGTCTTCAAGTGATGGTCAATCTACCCTTTATGATCGTCTTCCAATGATAGCCTTACAGCATTATCTACTGATGTTTTTTATTTATTTATTGAAGTTCATGCACGAAGGCTTCAAGCACTGAAGGCTCTTACTTATGCTTCAAACAGTTCTGAGATTTTGCAAAAATTGTACGAAATTGTCTTTGGCATTCTTGATAAGGTTCGTTCATATAAAATTCTATGCATGATTCTTGATTATTTATTTAAACTATATGGTGTTCCTCCTGTTTATGTCTTTAGCTTATAGGGACTAGCAATAGATTGTTTCTGTTTAAATTTAATTTTTTAGCTCCCACATCTTTGGTTGCTTTCTCTTTGTGGGGTTCATGCCTGTAATACTTATTTATCCATTTATGTTGTGCTTAAGCATTTTGTTTTTGTGGATTGCACTTATTGTTTCTATTATCTTATTCAAACGTATGAATTTTGTTGCTTATCTTCTGAAGCATGTTTTGTTGATCAGGTTGCTGATACACCAGATAAACGTAAGAAAGGCATATTTGGGGCAAAAGGTGGTGATAAAGAGGTATTTCTAATGGTTGCGGTTTCCACTGCTTCAGAAAATAATGATTTAATGCCTATTTGATTACATTGAACCACAAAATTTGCCCATTTGTATTCTGCATTTACTCAGACATACTTTTCAAGTACTGGACACATTGTCATGGATGACAAAAACTTTGATTCCTCACGTGAATGGCTGCTCAAGAGACTGAATATTACTTAATCAGTTAACCTTTGGTAAGGGAATGTTTTTGACAGCTTCCCCAAGATTTCCGAAGGTGCTAACTGACTATAATTGCAATTTAAAGAATAGGAGTGTATGGATGTTCATGGATTGCATTTTTGGACCTTCCGTTTGGGGAACATTTTTGGACCTTCCGTTTGGGGAACATTTTTGGACCTTCCGTTTGGGGAACATTTTTGGACAGGCCTTATAGATGTATCTGATTTCTTCAAGACACCAGGCTGCTGTAATGGAGGTGTCACAAGGAGGATGAAGGGCATCACAGAGTTGTATATGGCTTGAGGGGGAGAGAGTTAGATTAGAGCGTGATAGAGTTTTGATTGTATCTCGCTAGTGACATGACACAAAATAAAATAACCTAACAGTGTGCTTTGGTCCTGGTGATACCAGGCATAAATGCCTATTTTTGGAAGTTGAATGCAAAATCAATCAACCATTTTAACTTCCTAGGGGGAGTAAAGTGTCAATTTGGTGTCTTTCTAGGAACATACAAGGATGAGTTACATGCTAATAAAAATGGAATGTATTGAGTAATAAAGGGGTAATGTGATTGTACAACATCAACTGCAGATAGCAAGGAGGGATGTAGAAAGATCGTTAAAGCAGTTACATACACCAGTCAATTTTCCTGGATTTATTGATCTTCAACATCTTCCTGCGCATACGTTGACAGAGATCTTCAGCAAACAGTGGTATTGAAGTCTAGTGTTTGTAGAAGAGAGGAAAGAGTATGTGGGAGATAGAGAGAGCTGAGAGAGTAAGAACACACACAACTTCCCGGTTTCTTTGATTTGTTGGGCATACCTGTGTTTCTTCCCATCTAAGATAACTGTTTGGAACACACCCTTTGCTTTTCCCTTAAGCCAAGCCTGCAAGTTCCATGTCTTAAATGCACATATCTTAAGTTATATCTGTTTTTATTTGGTTTAAATTTGTCAAACTATTATTACTTATATTAACTCATTATAGTGATATTTTATCCAAATTGGCTTATCTTTTCACTTATGTTTATGCATCTGTTTGTGCCTTTAAGGTGTTCCTTGTGGTTCCTTAAAGCAGCCACCTTTACGGTGGAAATATTTAGTGCCCTTGCTTTTTTCATCTTTACAGTCAAACACACATGATATATGTCATAACATAATGTTTTCACCTGTAGTTATGTTTGATTTAGTATTCCTTATCCTTTTAATGTGAATGAACAGTCTATAATTCGAAGTAATCTCCAATATGCTGCCATAAGTGCTTTGAGAAGACTTCCCTTGGATCCAGGAAATCCAATATTTCTTCATCGCGCAGTTCAGGGGTTAGTTTATCACTTTTTTTCATCCTATAACATTTGATTTTGCTGATAATTATTTGGCCTTTTAACATATGTAGTTAGCTTCATGTTAACTTATCATTGTTTTGGCGATTCTGTAATAAGTGAGTGGTTTATTTTTATCATTTGCAAAGACCATCGTTATAATCACATTATCATGCCTAATCATGGTCAGTGATATGTGTGTATATATATATATATGTATGTATGTATATGCGCGGTCTGAATTGTGAAAAATAATTTTACTAGCTTTTTGTCAAATGGTAATTTTGTGGCCAACACCTTATCCCCACCAAAATAAGCTACAAGAGCTGTCACCAAAGCAATAACTGGTTTTGTTTGCTTCGATAACTGTGCTGAGCCGTCAGCTTTTGCAGCTATGGGCTGTGGCACCTTGTGCAAATTCCAAAATCTCATGCTTTTTTCATTGTTGATACTAGCTCGTGATCTTTGCAACCCTTTGCCATCGACCCTATTCTGACCCCCTCTCTCGAGGGTCACTGTTACTCATCTATTCTGCAAGACCATTGCTGTACCAAGCTGTGGTGAAGCAAGTCACCTGTTGTGGTCTTTCTGAAGCTCCTTTGATCAATTTTTTTGATCAATTGAACATGTGCCAAATTAAAATCTAATCTGTTTGGTGAGATTTTGATTTGTATGATTTGTTTTGAAAGCCAAAGGTTTGTGGTCACTTTTTGAAAGATCAGGGTGGTGTTTTGTAATTTATTTGAGCTTTAGGGGTATTTTCGCCGGTGTTAGAAAGTTCCATATTCAACTTTAAATTTTTTAAAGCTATAGAGATTGAACAATTTCCAGGAAACTTTAGGGGGTGTTTCCTATTTCTTGAATGTTTTGGTGCAATTTGTTCCATGTTCTCCAATTTGAGGAGTATTGGGAGATAGAACTAGAGTTTGGTTAGATTAGGTGATTCTTATGTTTACATATTTAGGTCCACTCGCCCATCTAGGGTCCTCCATAAAAGTCATGGATATGTTCGTTTGACCTGAACTTTAACAGTATAAATGCCAATAAGTAGAAGTTTTGTTGGCCAGTCTGCATCTATGATCTATTTAGGTTAATTGCCTACAGAAACTATGGAATTATAATGCCATATCTCTTTTAGTCCACAACTTTCAGAAACCATATATATATATATATATATTCATGAACTTCCAAAACCATCTATTTTAACTTCTGGTGATGTGCTGTTAAGTGGTCAGAATTGCTGAATATGCATCATCACTTGCAAAGTTATTGATGTGAAATCAAGTGGTGAACATAATGCAAAGTTTCCTCTTTGAGGATTACCTAGTTTTTCTTCATCAAGTGTTGTATCTTTGTAGGAATGTTACTAAACTAAACTCACTCTAAATAAATTCATATTTACCGCAGTGTTTCATTTGCTGATCCGGTGGCCGTTAGACATTCTTTGGAGATCATCTCTCATCTAGCTACCAAGGATCCGTATGCTGTTGCAATGGCTTTAGGTAATTTTATGCATCAAAACTTCAAAACCATGAAGTTTGGGGATTCCGGTGTTTTCTTCCTTTTCTCAACTTAAAGCATTACTTTGATGTAATTAAGTTTAACATGATGTTGTATTGTGAAATCCAAATGATCATGCTTTTCCTACAACTGCTTTATGTATTAGTATATGGATGAAAACATAATCATAATATTATCTGCTTATATTCACACAAATACAAGATGTTTAGTTATACATATTGCCATATATTCTCAATTATCTGTTATGCCCTATGTAGTGTTCGTTAAATTAGTTGGTTGGGTACAAGTGACTACTGATGTAGTACAAGTAGCCAAGTAGGTAATGTACTGGAGTAGTATAAATAAGAGTCTTGAGGGTCTATGAGGGGTATTCTGTATACTAGACACAATTGTGAGCCTTTGGGAGAGGGTTTGACCTCTCGAATTCCATTTTTTTGAATCTCTGGTGCTTAACAATTGGTATCATAGCGAGACCGATCTTGGATGTCAAATTTCATTTTTTACTTAGAGGAGAATTGGAAGGTAACTTTGGGTATGTCCATAAGGGGAGTTAGAGAACATTGAAGGAAGATTTCAAATCCTGACGAGGGATATGGAGACTGTGAATAAATTGATGAACATGCTAATCAAATTATATGATAAGCCATTGATGAACACCCCTGGATTTGAGGTAGAAGAAGATCCAGAGTAGTTGAGAATGTTTCCGCTATTAAGAGGGAAGGGTTGGGTTAGTCTACAACCATAACCATCTTGAGCCGCTGTTGCCACCGATATGACCACCCTCTCTACCATCACAATTGCCATTACTGCCTCCTCTGTCATTTTTGCCATCAAGCACCGTTCCCTCCACAAGCATGACATGCAAGCCACGACAAAAGTGTCAACGATGGGGATCCAGTCAAAGAACAACAAACTGAGATGTCAACAAAGCTCAATCCAATGGTTTTAATTTGGCCCAAGCCCAATCCTAATCTGGTGATATTGATTTGACCCATGCCTGTTCCAAACTTAAATACATACTCAATTTTCATGACATACCCTGTTTTGTTATCAACGAACATAGAGATTGGTTGGCCATGTTTATTTGGAAACTTCCACCATCGACTTCTCTCTATTTCTCGTCCAAACCCTCAAGTTCTATACTGGGATTTAACCAACATCCACAAAAATCGAAACCGTTGGCTAATCGCCACCACCACGGCTGCCTTTGCTGCTGCCACTGTTCTCACCACTATCGTCAATGTTCTCATAATTATCGTTGTCATTAGTCCTAAAAACAGGGGAAGTTCATCAAGAAATTAGAGGAGAATACTGAGTTGGAAGAAAATATAGAGTTGTTGGATGGTGGTGGAGCCGTAGTTGTGGAACCAAAAATAAGGTACACAAACTCTATGATAGGATTACTTAATCCAAAAACAATGATGCGAGTGGGCATTATTGAGCGGTTGAGTGTAGTGGTACTCATTGATAAATAGGGAGATCGACATCCACCATGTTGTTTCTACTAAGGTAGAGAATAAAATGGGAGAAGGCTGGTCACCTCAAACTGGCACCTACATGGAGTTTGCACTTAGTGTCTTTGATTTCAATGGTTGTTGTATGCCCTTATACATTTGGGCTTGCCAATCCAGATAATGCTGGGATACATGAGTTGATTTTGTTGGGCAACAAAAGAGCAAGGGTGTGTTTGTTACGCAGACTGGATGTGACGGACAGGACGGGGCAAAAAATTAGTACCATGTTTGGCATGCCATGGGACAACAATGAGGTTGGGCAAAATGGGACAAAATCTAATTTTCATGGGACAAACCTCGAGTTTTTTTTGTTCCACCAAAATAGGTGGAACAACGGACAAAACATTAGATGACCAAATTGCCCTTGTATCCTAACAATATCTAGAACAAAAAACGCTTCCATCAGCTTCTTCTAAATCCCTGATCATTCTTTCCCTATCGAACCCTGGAACAATATTGAATCCAGATAATTGCTTCTTCGACATCCAAGTCGATTTAGTTTCAAATTGATTTTTGAATTTTTTAAATCAAACCCTAGACCGTCGCATTTCGATATCTTTTCTCTGCAAATCGATTTCTTCTATCAAATTGAGTGTTGCTTCTGCACAAATCGAACCTTAGTCTTAAACTTGTTGGTACACATATCTGGTACTCAAGTATTTTTTTCTTTTGATGTTTTACGAGTGTTGCTTCAGGCTCTATTGGATTGGTGCTTGAATACTAATTAGAAAGGTACCATATCTTGAAGCTTCGTGGTTGTGTGTGGTTGTGCAATGGTGGTCGGTGGTGTGCGGAGGCGTCAATGAGACGAAGGACTAAGGAGATGATGCTGCGAATGAAAACCTATTACTTCTCCTACGTCCTCCTTTTGTGCATATTACAAATAAAATGAGAAACAATTCTTATATGGTTAGTTTATAAATAAATACAATTATTTATATATTTGTAATTCATGGTAGTTATTTTTATAAATTACAAGGAAAAAAATGTCATTCACTCTAGTTTTTGTAAATGAAGTTATTTATACATTTACTTGGTTTTGTCATAACAAAGATTAATAACACTATAATAGGGGTCATCTGATCATTTTAACAGATTTGTTCAGTCATTTTCTAGTTGTGCCAAACACATGATTGACAATTAGTCCTGTCTAGTCCCATCCAGTCTTATGCAGTCCAGTCCCATCCAGTCTGCATACCAAACGTTACCTAATGGTTAAGAAAGGGGTTATCGTCCCAATCAATATTGAAAAGTTGTTGGTCAGTCTAAAAGAATGTAAGGAATGGAATACTAGTGGTCTATGATTTTGAACTAATTTGATGTTGTGGGAGTTGCAAATCTTTTAAAGAGAAAAGCAACTATCTTTGTTGTGGAGGGCCTTTTCAAAATAGGCGTCTCATCCATCATGGTTACCATAGACAATTGGCGTGTTACTAGGGTTGCTACAAATGAGATTGGCATTCAAGTTGTAACGACAGGGGTGGTGCTGACTCAGAATGCGGACTTTATCCATTCATTCCAAAAAGATGGTAGTATAGTCGATATATTTGGTGATGGCATCAATGACTCCCTAACCTTAGTAGCAACAGGTGTTGGTATGGCTACTGTGACATGAACAATTGTAAAAATAGAGACAGTCGACTATGTTTTAATTAAGAACAACTTGGAGGAGGTGATGATGACCATTTGTCTTTCAAGAAAAGTTTTTGCTCCGGTACAATTGCTAGTTATCCCAACTAATAGGATTGTTGTTGGAAGTGATGGTGCACATACTTACTCGTGGAATAAGAATATAGGACAACTGGGGGGATCTCTAAACCGACATATGTGGCTAGTAGATTGGTTGGTGTTTATCGTACCATGTATCCTGCATTGGATGGAATGGATAAGGGATTGGATGCATATTCAGATGTTACGAACTTCAATAATTAGTGCGAGAATGAAGGTCTTTGGTTGGTGGGAATCAAAGATACAAGTATGAGGGTTTGAAGTTGAATCGAAGTGATTTACAACCATGTGATACGTATTGGAGAGCTCTTAGATGTGGCACACTCAATTCTTTTTGTTATACCTATCTTCATCGAAAACCGCCCTAGTCTTTGAGGTAAATTGTTGGTATTCTTTTGATTTTTTCCATCTTGAGGACAAGGTGGAAGTTTGGGGAGGGCATTGTTATACCCTTTGTAGTGCAGGTTAAATTTAGTTGGTTGGGTACAAGTGACCACTGCTGTAGTACAAGTAGGTAATGTAGTGGGGTGGTATAGATAAGAGGTGTAGAGTCTACGAGGGATATTCTGTTTCCTAGACACAAACCTGAGCCTTTGGGAGAGGGTCTTACCTCTCGGAAGCAAGATATATACCATTGTAATTGTTCCTAGATCAATGTAATTATTCGACTTATAGTATGATTGCTTTTTTGAATTTCCTGTGTGCAACATGATACTTGCTAAGTTAGATTTTATTTTCTACAAAAGCATGCATTAAGGTAAACTTGATATTAAAGAAGTGTTACAGGTTCTGATTTTGATTCTTATTGAGTCTTCATAGCATTGAAGATGTTACCATTTATGCTTAATATAGTGAGAGAAATGACCCATTCAATCAAGTTGCCAATTTAACTAGCAAGTGAAAAATTGAAATTGGCTGAGGAATGTAAAATGTAAAAAGGAGTTAGCCTTGCGAGTATGTGCCTCATCACAGTGAATTTTCGATTTCGTAGTGCAACTAATATATTCTATTGTTTTAGTATTGCAAATGAATGTATGTATATTTGATACAAGGATTCTAGCAGTCTGAATAAGAAAGTAACCTTAGGCGTAATAAGCCCAGTGTTCTAAAAAGTGTTAAGTGAAGCTAGGCGGTCGAGTGACCTTATGAGGACGTTTAAGCGATTCATTTCCATATATAAAAGTAATTATTTTTAGAATATGAACACATTTGAGAATTAAAATTTTGATATCGTCAAGCCCTGGTAAGGTTCTTCGCTTTGCATCGTATTAAACCACAACTCAGCGGTAGAGTGTTACCTTGACGTGGTGGAAGTCGTCAGTTCAAGCATGATTATCCCCAATCAGAATTGCCTCCCAGGATCTATAATTGCCTCAAAAAGTCCAATATATATCATTTTTGTAGCGTTACTTCTCTAATAAAAGGAATGGGACACTTTATGCGAGTGTAGACCTAACGTTTTACAGCCACTTAAGTGTTCCTAGGCGGGGATTTTTAGAACGCAGCCTAAACCTAATTTAACATCGTCCAGTAGTTCTCCTAAAGTTAAGAGTATAGATGTCAAGCACTCCACCTTGCTACATACATGGTAAAAATTTATTGACAAGTCACAGAACACACTCCAAAGAGAAGAATTAAGGACACAAGTATCATTCTTCTAAGTGCATGGCTCATTACTTCAATTAGTCCCCAGACTAAAAATCCTTGTATTTCTTTATCCTGGCATGGGACACAATAAGGACGATTTTATTTCCACCGAGCTAAAATAATATGTCGATGTCTCTAGTAAACTAAAGACATCATTGTTAAATATTTATATTTTAATATTTTAGGGATGCAAGAAGAAAAAGAAGGCATTAAGTGACCCTCCTGGCCCAACTCTAGACACTCTAAGATCCTTCTAGAGGCCCCAAAAACAAAGAGAAGATGTGTCTATCACAATGTGAGGATGCTAAATTATTATAGCATGCTACATGTTTCTTGGAATATGATTAATTTCTATTGTGGTCATAAAAATTACCCAATATAGGAGAAAGACGGTAAGCAAATGATTTTGGATAGGATTCCTGGTGCATAGCATGGGTGTTTCTACACATGGCATTGATGGAGCTGCTGAAGATCTTGTGATAGATGTGATATGACTTGAACCAGCATTTCTTGGTACTAATAGAAGTATAGACATTGGACGTAAACCATCTTAATAACAAAGCCGTACTGAGGACCCTAAATACTGTAAAAAACATCGGTACGTACAACATATGCTTGCTCTCTCCTTGAAGTGGATGTGGAAAAGCAGGTGCTAATGCAAGGGAAGTTGGTTTTTAATTTTATTAAAATATTTGCATTGAAAACAGCTTCTCTCAGAAACAATGAGGGGCATTGGGATAAATCAACAACATATGAGTCACCTCAAGGATATTATGATTTCTGTGTTCACCTGATCTGAATTGGTAATTCTCTCCAGCTTCATCATCTCCTTGCTTAGAGAGGCAACAACACTGAGGTATCTAAACCATGGCTGATAATTTCACCTTATATGTAAATACCTTGTGAAGCAGATGGTGTGACTTGAGGAGATTAGGGCAGAGAGGATAAAGCTAAGTAATCGAGAAGCCTTGGTAGAGAAGGTGTGTATTTAGATTCGAGGTTTTCAATAAAGGTTGCAAGCTTTTCTTGATGCTGCTATTGGAAGGACAAGTTGAAATAACTCCTTGTAATTCATTGTACATCTTTTGAAAACATATGGAGTGTCCTGATGGTCCTTTGTGTCTGTCATTAATAATCATGTGAAACACCGGAGGATTGGGACATATGAGATTTATCAGATTACAAAAACTGAAGATATTCTCTTTATGGTGTAGATATTTTTATAGTTGTAATACATTGGGCTCCATATAGGTCTACGGCACTATATAGGCCTAATTTTTGATAATGGGATTCGGTTGGTTATTTAGGGAGGTCACAGTATTTGTTTTCACTTTTGTGGCTAGCTTTGACAAACAGAGATCATTGAGTTCAATTGGAATCTTTAAGGTCGGAAGGGATCATAACCGGAGCAGAGCAATCAATAGGACCGTTGGTCAAATGAAGCGTAGAGTTTTGCTGACTCAAGCTAAGGTTGCTGTCGTGGATTGAAGATCTAAAGTAACTGGCACATGCAACAGTCGGTTATGGAACTCGTCAGCCAATGACAACAGTAAGTATCAACTCATGCAAACGTGGATGGACATCAACAGCAAAGGTTGTGATCTAGTGCGTATGGGAATGAAAGTCTTTTCATTAAGGGTTAGCACTTCATGCTTTCTTGATGTCGCAAGATAATGTGAAATAATCCCCGGAAACTCATTAGACATATTTTCATGCATTTGGAGTGAAATGATGGGTTCTTCATGTGTATGTTGTTTAAAGTACCGTGAAACACTGTAGAAATGGGACAGAGGATTTTTCAGAATAGAACAGCTGATGATAATCACTTGGTAGCTAACTTCATTGGTTTAATGCATGATCTACTAGACTATTCAAATTCAATTATCATTAGCATTCCATTTTCAGTTGTGGGATTTGGTTGGTCATATAGCAACTTGGTGAGATTTGTTTACAATCTTAATGCCAACTTCCACAAACAGAGACCAAACAATTTTATTAGAATCTTTAAGGTTGACAGGAATCTTAAATAGATCAGGGCAATCGATTTATGTTCTAAGCGTAAGCAAAGTTAGGTTACCTTGTGACCTTTTAGCACTTAATTGCCAAAGCAGGGACTAAGCGAACACTTACGTGTGCAGACGAATAAGCTTTTCATCGAAGAGTACGACCCCCGTTTACTATCCTCTTACCACCTCTTACAGCAGCGGACCTTTCCTCATTTACCCTCCCCTCATTCTTTTTCTTCCCCAAAAACCTTCTCTTTTTCTTCATTGACAAGAGGAATACCCTGCGTATTACTTTTTCTTCCATGCACACGTACTCTCTCTAAAAAGCGCATGCTACTTTTTTTCCCTTCAATTTTGTGACAAGCAGCGATTCTCTGAATCTGCAGCAGTTGGCAATGTGATTCCATTGTTGTAGTAAATGTTTTTGAATATCCTGATCTCATCACTTTTGGTTGTCCACCTTCTAATGCTCTACATACATATGTTGTTTCTGCTTCTTAAACCTTGATCTTGTTGCTGTTGAGTTTTCATGGTGGTGTTGAAGATGGTGAAATCCAGGCAAGGTTCAAATACGGAGGCATATCATATCATAAATGCAGAGGGAGTCATGAAGGGCATATTAGGGGTGCGGTAAGTGAAATCTTGAAAGGAAAAATCATAAAAGGGTAAAATGTAAATGGAAATTAGAAGGGAAAAGGATTTGGAAGATGAAGAAAGAGCAGATCTCAAACCAATTGTGAAGAAGGAAACTTTAGAAATGCCTTTATTCGTCTCTCAAAAATGGTGAGGATATAAAAGATGGGCAGAAAGAGGGGTAGGGCTCCAAAAAGGAAGAAAAATGATTAATGCTTGAAATTGACATTATATGAAAGGCATACTTCGAATTAATATATTTTTGAAATTTTAAGATAGAGGTATACTGATTTTTATTCAGTAATTACTTAATACAAAGCATTAGATAAACTTCAACTTTCACTCATCACTTGCCTAAGTGAGACCTCTTATTACCTCAATCAGACCTCTTGCCACAACGAGCACTTATCCAATTTTTTTGATAAACAGCCACTACAATTATTTTTGGATAAAGTGAACTTGTGATGATCAAATTTTGGACTTTGTTATTTTGATAGTCACTTCCCTAACTGATCAACTTCATTTTTGCGTTTATGTAATTACTCAAAAATGAGGAGAATGACTCCATTCAAGTTGAGAGATTGGATTGATGTGGGGAAAGTTTCTTACTCCCTAATTGACTTTTTGAAACACATCAATGATTAGTTGCTAATCCAAGCAGTGGGGGATGCTTGACTCATATGTGGCTGATTAAGAAGACCTAACTAATTAAAGAGATGAGGGGTGCATAATGCCAATATGACCACTTAAATAGCTCTAAGCAGGGGTTTGTGAACACCACAATCTATTGGCCCGAAGTTGTAATTTTAGGCTTAGAATTTTGTTGCCAAACTGAAGTTCCATTCATTGATCAATATCAAAAATAACTGCCACAAACACCAGTCACTTGTAAAATGCATCAGACAATGACATCAATAGTCGTGACTTAATACCTACTTGGATAGACATTGACAGCAAAAGCCATTGATCTTCTTGATCAGGGAGTGGTTTGCGTTTATCAATCGCTCTAGATGTTTTAGCGTTTCTTACATTTGTATATTGTTATAGTGGAAAAGCCCTGACTCTATACAAAGAAGTCCCAAAGTTCTCATAAGAAAGCAACTCTAAGCCTACTTTACTTAGGACTCCTATACCTAATAGAATTCCATCATCTTACATAAAATGTTTTATGATTCAACTATCTCCTCAAGTTTCTAATCATTGGTCTTACTTTTTTGATTGCAGGGAAGCTTGCACAGCCTGGTGGTAAGTCTGAAAATTTGTTCCTTTGTCATCAGTGTCATCATTAAAAGATTTTCAGGGTTTTCTGGTTATCACCATTTAAGTTTGTAGATCTTATATGAATCAGGAGCTCTACAGGATGTTTTGCATTTACATGATGTGCTTGCTAGAGTTGCTCTGGCCAGATTGTGCCATGCAATATCTAGAGCCAAGTCACTGGATGGTATGTGTTGCTGATATGTCAACTTGTTTGCTCACATTTAAAAAGTAACTGCTACCAAGCTCTGAATTACTTTCTTTACAGAAAGGCCAGACATTAAATCCCAGTTTACCGCTTTGCTGTATCAACTCCTCCTTGACCCCAGTGACAGAGTTTGTTTTGAGGCTATCCTTTGTGTACTGGGGAAATCCGACACTGCTGACAGGTACTTTGTCCATGAATTTTGTTTTATTTCCTCGTGTGGTTGTTAGGGAGGGGATTGTCCATGTCTCTGGCTGATGTTAAGAAACTATTATGAATGTAAGCATTCTTGCTTGCTATCTTGTTACTAATATTTGTCAATGACAGAACTGAAGAACGAGCTCTCGGGTGGTATCGTCTAACAAGAGAAGTTCTCAAGGCCCCTGAAGCACCTTCTGTGAAGGACAAGGATAAATCTTCAAAGACGCGACGCCCACAACTCCTCATCAAACTTGTTATGAGAAGGTTATTGTGCTCATTTAATACAAATATACAATTATATGTCTTTTACAAATGTTTCCAGTCCTTGTTGGTCTATCAGCAGGTGTGAAAAATACTCGGCAGTACCTGTTATCACTTAGCATTCCAATGAACTGGTTCCTGATCTGGTTACGTCGGGATAGGGTATCCTTTCTGGGATTAAATGGTGTTTATTATTATTTTTTGATGTGTTTTTTTCTTCCCTTATTTTTTTTATTTTCTACTAGATGATGAATAGAACAATACTCATTGTTGGTGTCTTATAGGCCAGTATGGTCAAGATCCATTAAAATTGTACATATTGATGGATGAACATGGATCAATTCAATGTGCTTTATCAGACCTGTTTATGTAGCTTACAAGTTATTCAATAGGATTTTTACACACAATTATAGATAATCTTATTCTTATATTGTACATGCCCCTATAATAGACACTTCAACTGTACTTCTGGTAATTTTTTTTTTGACTTATACTGCCTAACTAACAATGAACTTTGTACTATACATGCCTATAAAAGCACATATCAACTTTAATAATAAAACAAATATTTTGAAATACAAATTGTCATACATCTGCAAATGCATATATAACAACATTATGTTTGTACTTGTTTGACAAAAGTTTTACAGTTTAAAACAATAAAAGCAACACTCTTGTACTTGTATCACACGAGTTTCTAAATCAAAACCACCAGTTTTTTAAACTTATTTTTGCAAAATGCATACTTCTAAAAACGTGAATCGGAAAGTACGAATGCACCTGTACTTGTAATTGACTGTAAGATATCAATTTGAATGATCGTATCAGCTGCCATGAATTTGCATATATACCTCAAACTCAACTTTTAGAATGAATTTCTAATTTTGCAACACAACTTCTTCTGTACAACTACCAATGCCATTTTTATATGTGTTGTACAAGTTTCTATAGCATCCACAACCATAGTTGTGAGAGTGCTCATCATGCGTACCATTGCATATAGTGTGGTTTTTATGGTGTATACCGCACCTTATGTAATGTTGTCCTAAGGAACCGTGGTTCATTAGTGATTAAATTTGGTAGGTTGATTGATGATTTCTCTTCACTCAGGTTCATTTTGTGTTGGCCTATTTTCCTTGGAATTCGAAGTGATTCGTTCTTCTGTTTTCTCTTCTATTACAGTGATAATATAAGACTTCATTTGTTAACATAATATTATGGTAAAATTAATCATGAATTTAATGTTAAGATATTTCATTTTTTGTTCATTTTACAAATAAAAAGCCCTTCCTTTCTTGTTAATTCGTAAAATAAATTGCAAATGTCTATCACACTTTCATGATTTGGAAACTGAAAAAGTTAACTTCTTTTTTTTCAATAGTAACTTGTTTGATTTTGTTATGTCACTCGGAAGTATGTATTTTATTATTGAATGTTATTTGCTTTTATCTTTTGATTTTTAATATTTTTGTCTGGAAAATGGCACATGCCATGCCATGGCTCATTTTCAAGACATGATTATGCTTGCATTCTATACCATGCCTGTTGTGAGGACCGAGGATGTCAGTTTTTTTTACCACACAACCACTAGTGCACTTGTACTTGTACCATATAACTACTAATGAACTTTTAATTAAAGCACACAAGTCTTTAAAGCATTTTGCTTCAAGTTTTATAATTAAGTACATGTTTACATCAAAACTTGTACCTTACAACATTTTTTAGGCCTTGGAAATTCTATGTGTAAATTCAAAGAACATATTTTGACCCACCATGGAATTTTAGGAGAGAGAGATAAAGGCCAGGGTGCGAGAAATGGAGGTGACAAGGAACCAATTTGACTCAAGCTAGGGAGGTCGATTATCGAGGCAATCCTCCTCCTTAGACCCCTCATGGAGAAACATAGAGAACACATTGAGGATCTGCACATGGTGTTCATACACTTGGAGACAGTCTATGATAGCGTATCCTATGTGATTTGGAGGAGCCTAGAGGAGAGAGGGATGCCATGGAGTTATGTCAGGGGAATTCAACAGATCTACGTGTGAGCAATGATGTGTGTCAAGACACCAATGGGTGAGACGGAGTACTACCTGGTTTGGATGAGTTCATGCGGGATTTGAGGGAGTGTCCCCTGGTGTATGTTATTTGCAGACAAAATTGCACCGGTAATAGAGATTGAGGGAGAGGTGAATGTTAAGTTGGAACAGTGGAAGGCGGCATTAGAAACGCTAAGCTTGCACAGTAGCCGTTCTAAGACTAATACCTTTAGTGCAATTTCATCAGGGAGGGTAATGACATGGAGGCGAAAGTCAACATTGGGAAGCAAAGAGTACACCAAAAGGGCTATAAGTGCCTAGCATCATGATTCATAAGGAGGGGGAGGTAGAGAAGGACATTACATGCCGCCCAAATGGAGGGGTGCAACCTGTGTGTTGTGTGACATGATGGTCTTACTAAAATTGAAGGGCAAATTCTACAAGGTAGCTATCAGACTAGCCATGCCATTGGCGGCGGAGTGTTGGGCGACAAAGAAAGTGCATGACAGGAAGTTGGAAGTTGTAGTAATGAGGATGTTCAGGTGGACTTGTGGCTAAACTATGTTGAACCATAACCAAATGAAGTTTCGACTAGAATTGATTGTAATGCCTATCACGAATAAATTGAGAGAGGGATGGTTGTGATGGTATGGGCACGTTCATAGGAAACAAATGTCGGCACCAGTGAGGAGGGTCGAGAGCACAAAGGTCGGGGGGGGGGTTGAGGAGGAGGGGCAGCAAAGGAGGACGTGGGATGAGCAACCGAGACTAGATACAGCGGTTTTAGACATTTTGATGGCATAAGCTCATATAGGAGTTTGTGGAGACACAAGAACAGGCTAGTAGATTTTGCTCTAGGGACTTGTTAGCATACACACAAGTGTATTATGACCGTATGGTCCAAATTATATCACAAAATGTGTAATTCAGTTTTTCTGATTAGAGGCTTGTTCAGTAGAAATACAGTGCATTGCTAGTTGTACTATACAAATTATGTTGTACTGTACAAGTGCAAAAGTGGATTTTTAGCTCTATGGTATACACTGTGTTGTAAAAATGTGTTCATTTTGAAGGTTGAGGTGTTATGCTTTAGAAACTTATACCGTTTAAGTTCAAATACATTTGAAGATGCTATACTGTTTAAATGTATGTTCTATTTTATGTACTTTATAAGTAAAATCAGTCATTAATTTATGTTATATGAAAGAAGTCGTGGAAATGGTAAATAGCTGAATAAGCATTCAGCAGGTCTGATCATGGATCAGATCTAATCACTAGCCAACCTAATCCAGTTCTGACCCATTGACATGCCTAGTTTCTCAAATGACAGAAAAAACTGCAAAACAAATCATTTTACATATATTATTGGCTAGTTCTTAGCTAGTTTGTTAATCCACTCCACGACTAAAATAGTTATTTTTTTTCTGAAGCAATCTAGTAGTAGTAATAGAGGCTTGAATGTTCTATTGTATTTTTTAGTATATTATTGTTGTCTCATTAAAATGCTACAATTTTCATTTTCGGATGTTAACATTAACTACTGCATTTGCTATTCTAGAAAATTTTCATGCTAAACTAGCCTTGTGCATGTTGTCATCTCTAAATGTAGATGTTATTTGTTTTGGTGCATGAGATGCACCTCTTTCTCCTTGTTGAAGGGTATGGTAACTGGACTGTTAGCCAAGCACTTTTTCATAACTATGCCTTGTAAAAATCTTGTAACTCTTATGGATGATGGGAATGGTCTGGTCATAGTGAAAAATCTGGATGTTCTTGATTTAAAGTGACCCCTCGTGCTTGGGTCTTGGAGAACACTAAGCTGACATTATATGTACACTCTTTTCTTGGACACAAGGTTTTGACATGGTTATCTGGTTGAATTGCGCTCACTTTTGTAGAAAGCAATGATGTATTGTTTTTAATTGTACTTGTAGAACTTCATCAATTTCCTCTTTATTCGTTACAGATTGGAAAGTTCGTTTCGTAGTTTTTCCCGGCCTGTACTTCATGCAGCAGCCAGAATCGTGCAGGAGATGGGGAAAAGTCGTGCTGCTGCTTTTGCTTTGGGTCTACATGACATTGATGAAGGAGGAGATGTTAATACATTTGCTGAAAACAATGAGCAGGAAGATGGGAAATCTCAACTTGAAGGTAATTGGTTGGTTGAATGCATAAACATCTCAAAATAATATTTATGTTTGCCAAAAAGAATAAAAAACGTGTCACTTCGTTTTTGGAGTAACCAAGCACAAGCACTAATTGACCATTTGGTTTGTGATGCCTATCACAAGTATTTTTTCTTTATTTGAAAACAATTTGCATCCATAGTTTAGATAGATGTTCCAAAATCCCTCTGTACAAATGCTGTTTAATTGCTTAACTTTATCTGTGACTGTCATGAACCTGCATATGACTGCCTTTGTTTTTCTCCTTCTCTGCCTATGTTTGAGATATAAATGACCTATAAAAGATTAAAACGAGATCAACCAAGACTAGACAAATAGTTATCCTAAGAATATTTGATACTGACTATGGATTTTGTTTAAACCTCGATAATTGTCTTGGATCGGGTCATTTTGCTTTTGGTTGGTAAAAAAGATTGATATATAGCTGCTGAAGATTCATGGTTGCTAATTTAGATCAAGTTCTAGATCAAAAACCTAATGACAAAAAAAGTTCATAGGGCATAGGATAACACAAGCAGCTGGTTAGCAAATGTTACTCTCAAACTTCTTTATGCTCACAAGTGTAAGATGTGTTGAAAACATTAAGTTGACACATATTTCTAGACAGAGTCCGGAAACCTTTTAGAAGATATTCTCAAGTTATATATATATATATATATATATGTGTGTGTGTGTGTGTGGGGGGGTGGGTCGGTGGGTGTGCATATATCTACATACATATATCTATGTGTGTATATATACATTGCTACATAGATATATCTATGTATACATAGCATACATACAAAACATACAGGTATATGCATATTTATATTTATATATATGTATGTATATTATGTGTATCAGTGTATGTGTATATATATACATAATTACATATGTACAGATGCATATACATATACATTATGTAATGCCTGTTTAAGAATACAAGTAATTCTAGTAAAACGCCAAACTGATTTGACATCGAAATTAGGTGCTTCTTTTGTGTATTTCGGTAATGCAAATCTTTAATCTGAGTTCTGAGATGTGTAAATGCGTCATTTTGACGTATCTGACTATATAGATTCAACTTAATTGAACAGATGTATTCTCATACTGCAGGTAACCTGATACTTCAGTTTGTCACTCAGTTGAGTTTATCCATGTTAGGAGGCATTAGAGTACACGTGTTATTGTTTTTTTTTTTTTGCTTCTTTTGCACCCCTTTTAGGTCTTCGACGCATTCCTTCTATGTCAAATGGGGCAGGTAACAAGGAGACAGTTGCAAGTCTATTGGCCTCTTTAATGGAGGTGGTGCGTACAACTGTGGCATGCGAATGTGTTTATGTTCGTGCAATGGTGATTAAAGCACTGATATGGATGCAAAGCCCACAAGAAACTTTTGCTGAGCTAGAATCAATGATTGCATCTGAGCTCTCTGATCCTGCTTGGTCAGCCGCTTTGTTAAATGATATTTTGCTCACTTTACATGCTCGTTTCAAGGTAATTGGTTAATCACTACTGGTCACTACTTTTTTGTTTCGGTTTTTAGAGATATGTTTTGGAATTCAATGTTCTGATCCAACAGCATATTGACTTGCCTTACTTCTCTAGTGGTTTTCCATATATCTTAATGATCAGTGTTCTTCTAGTTGGAGCATTTGGTTGGTCTTAGTTGCACTTGATCGAAGGAGCAAGCACTGTACTTAATTTGTATATAGAGTTAATGAAACATTCATTCTGGGCAGAATAAGCATGATTCTCGTGTATGATTAATCAATGCATTATTGAGACTTCTAACAGGAAACATGATGTAACACCATCTATTTTATAAATTAGTTTTTGAGTACACCATCCCCCTTGTGAACTTTTTGGTGATATCTTCCAGTAATTCTGTTATAAGCCATCATCTGAGGCAGGTAATATCAGAGTATTTTGATTCGAACTGGTCATGGTATTATTTTGATTGTGTATTCCAAAGCTTGAGGATACCACATTAAGCTTGTATTCATTCTATGGCATGATTTATGCAAGGTGTTGTAAGCATTCAGTGAATATTAGTCCACCATGCTAGTGCGATCTCAGCAACATAAAAGCATCGTAAAATTGTCAACATAACACTTCATTGATTGTATTTAATGGAATATTCAAGGGTCACTAGTGACAATACGAGAATCATTAGGACTTTACCCTTTTATTGAGAGTCTGCTTTCTACTTCATAGGGTGTCAGGGGTCCTGAAACTACCAATGACTTTGTTGCTAGGTCAGCCGTTCTCTTCTGGAGTTAGAAATTCAATTGGGACTCTCATGGGCCACCCCAACTAGTTTGGATTAAAGGGCTTGTCTTATCATTAATTTGTATAATATCAGTGCATTCGAATTCAATGTTCTGATCCAACAGCATATTGACTTGCCTTACTTCTCTAGCGGTTTTCCATATATCTTAATTATCAGTGTTTTTCTAGTTGGAGCATTTGGTTGGTCTTAGTTGCACTTGATTGAAGGAGCAAGCACTGTACTTAATTTGTATATAGAGTTAATGAAGCATTCATTTTGGGCAGAATAAGCATGATTCTCTTGTGTGATTAATCAATGCATTATTGAGACTTCTAACAGGAAACATGATGTAACTCCGTCTATTTTATAAATTAGTTTTTGAGTACACCATCCCCCTTGTGAACTTTTTGGTGATATCTTCCAGTATTTCGTTTATAAGCCATCTTCTGAGCCTGGTAATATCAGAGTATTTTGATTCGAACTGGTCATGGTATTATTTTGATTGTGTATTCCAAAGCTTGAGGATACCACATCAAGCTTGTATTCATTCTATGGCATGATTTATGCAAAGTGTTGTAAGCATTCAGTGAATATTAGTCCACCATGCTAGTGCGATCTCAGCAACATAAAAGCATCGTAAAATTGTCAACATAACAAGGGGTCCTGAAACTACCAATGATTTTGTTGCTAGGTCAGCCGTTCTCTTCTGGAGATAGAAATTCAATTGGGACTCTCATGGGCCAACCCAACTAGTTTGGATTAAAGGGCTTGTCTTATCATTAATTTGTATAATATCAGTGCATTCTTCTTGTGTTTCTATGTTCATTCACATGGATGCTACGAAGAAGTCATCATTGACGTTCAATGGCCCGTTATCTAATTCTTTCTTTCTTTCTTTTATCTATCAATTTATTTATTTTTTCTTATTGTATACTTATGTTTTTTTTGCCCGTTAATTACTTGTGTATAGGCTACTCCAGATATGGCGGTTACTCTACTTGAAATTGCAAGAGTGTTTGCTACTAAAGTCCCTGGAAAAATTGATGCTGATGTGCTGCAACTACTATGGAAGGTAGGTTTTCTATCTTCCGCTTAATAATGATGCATAACTTTGTTCAACATGCAATAGTCCTAAACCATTTGCATTTGCATTGCATGAGGGAGCACTTGGCATGTAAGTTTATTGTGATAACAGAATAGATGACATTCATACATAATGTTCAATTTCTTGTCTAATCTTCTCGATCGTCGAGAAGCTCTGTATTATATCATAAATCTTGACATTTGATAGAGAATCTATTACCCACTGTCTATCGCAACAAACCCAACAAAAATGTGAAGGATGTTGATATGGGTGCATCCCAGGAGTGAAAGGCCCCAAGAGATCAAGAAATGGTCATGGATTCAAATCTAGTGATGGTTGTCCTACTGACCATATCACACTTCAAGGAGCGGCTTGGTAATCCAAATGTCAACAGTGGATCTACCATGCTGCAGCAACTCGCAAAGGGCCAATCCTATCTTAAATGCTTTCAATAACCAGGTCTAACATATGTGCATATATGTGTGTGACTGTAGTAGCTTTAGTATTAGTGTTTTGGATGATAGCATTTGGGTGGTCAGTGTTTGGCTTTTATCGTCTGGAGCAGCCTTCTGCTGACAGCTTTCAACAGATGTAGCTTACCATATGTGGCCTCCATTGCTCATCATGTGAGGATTTGTGGAACCCATATATTACTCTCCACAAGAGTCCTTGAGGTGAACGGGGAGGTTTCAACATATATACATGAGGGTTTGGCAGTAGTAGATATGTATAGCGTTTTTTGTTATTGGCTGCCACTTTTTCTACTAATTAGACAGATCCTTTTTGGTCAGCCTTTTTTATCTTGTATAGGGTTTGGCAGTAGTAGATATGGTGGCCATGCTTATGAGAATTCCAAACAAAGAAAATCTTCTGTCTCTAAACCTTTACAAATGCTCATAATGACTCGTATGATGATGATATAAATCAAATAAAGGAGCAAACTGCAGGAATCAAACTGCAAACTTTCGAACATCAAGTGCCAAAAGCGTAGAACTATCAAAACATTTTGGGGGAAAAATCAGATTCCAGTTGTCAAAAACAAATGTCCTTTGGTCTACAGGCAGAACATAAATTTCCTGAACATTATTTATTGCTCTTCTTTACTGTCCGTAACGGCCAGAAACTGCCAATACCAGGAGATAAAGCCAACAAGATCCTCATATTGGTTAACCAAAGTCAGGATTCTTTATGGAGAAATTATCTGTTGCTCAAACAGGGAACTGTATAATACTGAACTAGTCATGCTGGTCAAAGGATCAACAGTCAACTAGAAAAAAAGTGAACGGTTACCTTTAAAAATGACAAAAGAAAAAAAAGAAGTTATGCACAGATTAACAGTCATCTATCCCAGCCTAGTCATGACCAAACATCAATTGTATATTTGAAAGCTAACCAAAACAACAAGAAGTCATTGATGGTTGCCAATAGTTAGATGAAACAATGATGAACTTTAGGTGGTGACAATCAGAATTGGTATCGATTGTATTGATTCAAAAAAATAATATAAGACTTTTAGACAAGTAGTTATATAGGTAAAACTAATTACACTTTGGACCCTAGACAATATTAAAAATATAAACTACACTAGCCGACTTAGTCTAATATTCCCCCGCAAGTTCAGCGCGGTTAGCAATCTGCAACTTGGACCGTAGAAACTCAAACTTCTGAGAAGACAAGGGCTTTGTAAAAATATCAGCAATTTGGTCGTCTGTAGAGATGAATGACAATTAGTTTCCCTTGAGTAACTTGTTCACGAACAAAGTTATAGTCTACTTCAACATACTTTGTACGGGCATGAAAGACAGGATTAGCTGTGAGATATGTCGCGCCAAGATTATCACACCAAAGTGTAGGGGCCTTGCTATTCAATCCAAGTTCCTGAAGAAGGGACTTCAGCCAAATCAACTCRGCAAYARTATCTGCAATGGCCTTATACTCGGACTCTGTTGAAGATCGAGAGACAGTTTTCTGCTTGCGAGCAGACCAAGAAATAAGATTCGAGCCTAAGTAGATAGCATATTCCCCCGTGGATCGACGATCGATTGGGCAACCAGCCCAGTCAGAGTCTGAGTAAGCTTGAAGATTTTGGTTCCAATGAGAATCAGAAAAGGCTTGAAGCTGATAGCCCGTATTGTGACGAATCCACAAACCCAAATTGATGGTGCCCTTGAGGTAACGTAAGATCCGTTTACTCCGGCCCAATGATTTTCAGTCGGAGCATGCATGAACTGGCAAACTTTATTGACTGCAAAGGCAATATCAGGACGAGAAAGGGTAGCATACTGAAGAGCCCCGACGGTCTGCCTATAGCGAGAGGGATCATCGAGTAATGGGCTATCATCCGGTAACAACACWTGAGAGGTGCTCATTGGAGTAGCAATCRGTTTGCAGTCTGCAAGACCAGCACGGTGTAAGATCTCACAAACATATTTYCGTTGTGAGAGAACTAAGTCTGCACCCTTGTGAACAACTTCGACCCCCAAAAAATAATGTAGCTGCCCCATATCTTTAAGAGCAAAGAGAGTATGGAGCCGGTCAACGATGGTGGCGATAGCAGTGGAGTTGTTACCGGTGATGATGATGTCATCAACATATACCAGAAGGTAGATAAGAGAGCCCGGAGAGTTGAGAATAAAAAGTGAGGGGTCGGTTTTGGACCCATAAAAACCCAACTGATGAAGAGCAGTAGACAGTTTTATGAACCAGGCACGAGGGGCTTGTTTGAGCCCATACAACGACTTGTGTAACAAGCAGATATGATCAGGTTTGGTTTGATCAATGAAGCCAGGAGGTTGACGCATGTAAACAGTTTCCTCGAGATCACCATGCAGAAATGCGGTCTGAATGTCCAACTGTCTGAGAGGCCATTTGTTGGTGACAGCAAGAGACAGGACAGTACGAATAGTGACAGGCTTGATAACGGGGCTGAAAGTCTCATGATAATCCACGCCATGCTGTTGGTGAAAACCTTTGGCCACAAGGCGGGCTTTGTACTTGGTAATCTTTCCATTTTCATCAGTTTTTAACCGGTAAACCCATTTACAATTAACAACATTAGCATTAGGGACAGGGGGCACAAGTGTCCACGTGCCATTCCTATGAAGCGCAGCCAACTCATCAGCCATTGCTTGGCGCCATTCTAAAGACTTGTTAGCAACGGTAAAACTAGTGGGTTCAAGAGGTAGAGGTGAGGGAGCGATGGCAGAGTAAGCGGTTGGGTTATTTCGGTCAAGTTGTTTGGGATTGGGGCGAAAGTTGGAAGGCCGAGGCCGAGAGACGGGTGGTGGAGTATGGGTATGTTCGGGCGGGGAGGCATCAGAAGGAGGTGGTGATGGTGATGATTGTGGAGACGACTGGGGAGGTTCGTGAGGAGGAGATTGAGGAGGGGGTGGCGGTGGTGTTGGTGTAGGCGATTGTGGAGGCTCGGGTGGGAAACCGGGTGGTGGGTTAGGAAATATAGAAATGTAAGGAGGAGTGGATGGTGGTGGTGGGGTTGGTGAAGGCTGGTAGGGAAACACATATTCGTTGAAGCGAACATGTCGGGCATTGTAAATCCGGTCATTAGACGGGTCAAAACAGCGATAGCCGTGGTGAACGGTGCTGTAACCAAGGAAAACGCAAGGAGTGGACCGGAATTCATTTTTGTGATGATTGTATGGACGACGGTAAGGGAAGCATTGACAACCAAAGACTCGTAAGAAAGAATAATCAGGTTTTCGTTTGAAGACTTGTTCAAAAGGAGATTTGTTTGAGGAAACACGAGAGGGGAGACGATTGATTAGGTATACGGCTGTTTCAAAGGCAAGGGACCAGAAGCGTTGAGGAAGACTGGACTGAGCCAGGAGAGTGAGTCCAGTTTCTACGACATGACGATGGCGGCTTTCAACAATGCCATTTTGCTCAATGGTGTGAGGACAAGACCGTCTGTGGATGATGCCAAGGTTGCGACAAAGATTGGTGAGAGGCCGAAATTCGCCCCCCAGTCAGATTGAATACACTTTAATTTGGTGTTAAATTGGCGTTCAGTCATGGTAATAAATTGTGTGAACACAGTATACACATCAGATTTTTTATTTAAAGGATAAATCCACATATAACGTGTGAAATGGTCAACACATAAAAGAAAATARCGATGACCATCAAGAGATGGCGCGGGAGAAGGGCCCCAAACATCACAATAAACAAGATCTAAAATATTATTGCTACGAAAAGTGGAATCAGGTAAAGATGACTTTGAAGATTTTCCCAATTGACAAGAAGAACATAAAGTATTTGATAATTTGTCCGAAACAGGTAAAGAACAATAAGAAACAATTGAACGAAAAACTTGAGCATGAGGATGTCCTAAACGCTGATGCCAAATGTTCGAAGGAGCTTTGACARCAGTGAAGGCAACCTTCGGCAGAGACTTGAGTTGAGGAAGACGAATGGAGTACAAACCCTGTTCACTGGGGCCCGTGAGGAGGGTAGTGCATGTAGACGCGTCCTTGACAACAAAATAAGAAGAGTGAAATTAAAAGAAAACATTGTTATCAAGGCAAAATTATTGAACAAATAAAAGATTTTGTTTTAGTTGAGGAACATGAAGAATGTCAGTTAGGGTAAAGGTTTTGTTTGGTGAGTATATTTTGGATAAGCCAATGTGAAAAATGGGTACAGAATTACCGTTACCAATAAGTAAAGAATCGTTACCGTAGTAGGCCTCTGAGTTATCCATGCTAGATAGGTCTGGTGTGGCATGATGGGTTGCACCAGTATCTGGTTTCCAAGTAGGACCAGAAGATGAKCCARCCTCTGAGTGTGATGTAAAATTGGCCTGTGGTGCAGGATGAGACTGGTTCGGCTGAGTTGGGCACTGAGACGGTAGATGACCTATGCCACACCTGTTGCAATGGCCATAGACTGTGTTGTGGGTTGAAGCCCAAGAAAACTGTCGCGAGCCATTGCTATCCCGAGGGCGATTATTGAAACTACTACGTGAGTTGCCACGAGAAGAACCACGAGATCCCCGACCACCTCGGTTATTGTTGAAAGACCGAGAACCATAATATGCTTGAGCCCGTGGGGTGGGAAAGGGGTTTAATTGATAACCCACAAGTTGAATGCTTTGGAGTTGTTGCTGAAGTTGATCGAGATTCGGTTGTTGAATCGAAGATACAGCAGCCGTTAGTGGCTGGGATATTGGAGCAGTGTTGGCCAGGAAAGCTTGTGGAGTTAAGGTCTTTGTAAAAACATAGTCATGATCACACAAAAGACCATGTAGTTCATTGAAGCGAACAGGGGGTAAACGAGTCAGTAAGTTGCCTTTAATGACATTGTATTCCTCTCGAAGCCCTGYGATAGTTAGCATTACTAGGTCTTTGTCCTTCATTGGTTCTCCAATGTTTGCTAGAGCAGTGGCATATTCGTGAACCTTGCTTAGGTAGTCAGCCGATTTTTCATCACCCTTCATGGTGATTCTAAGCAATTGAGTTTTGAGAGTAAATTCATGAGAGGCTGTAACAGGGGCATAAGCTCTTTCAAGAGATAACCATACCTCACGTGATGTTTTTCCCTGAATGTGTTGATAAGAATCTTCGGACACAGTAGAGATGATAAGCATCCGAATATGGGCATCGTTTGAGATCCACTTGATGTAGCTTGGATTGTCGGTGGTTGCTGATTCGTTGGTGACTTTCTGATCAGGGCACGGTACTGTTCCATCAACATAACCAAAGAGATTATGAGATGTGAGAAAAGCTTCAATCATAGAATGCCAATAGCCATAGTTGGTACGTTTGAGAGAGAAGGAGAATTTGTGGGAATTGTGAATGGTTTTCTCCTGATGTGAAAAAGCGATTATAGCTGCCATGAATTCTGATGTTGATTTGTCTGGAATTTAACGTCGGCAGAGTTGCTGATCGCAGATTGTTGATTTGGCCGGCAGAATTGATGAGCGGCGATTTTAGGGTTAGAGAAAATAAAAATCGATAAACGAGGATTTGATAGTGCTCTGATACCAAATCAGAATTGGTATCGATTGTATTGATTCAAAAAAACAATATAAGACACTTTTAGACAAGTAGTTATATAGGTAAAACTAATTACACTTTGGACCCTAGACAATATTAAAAATATAAACTAGACTAGCCGACTTAGTCTAATNCTTTTAGACAAGTAGTTATATAGGTAAAACTAATTACACTTTGGACCCTAGACAATATTAAAAATATAAACTAGACTAGCCGACTTAGTCTAATAGTGACTGTCAAATGACAAACCTTAAGATAAGGTGATAGTGGTGGTGGACCGGAACAGTTGTCAGGTTTGATGAACTCTAATTGGTATGATGGACACCAAAACGATGGTGATGATGCAACTTCACAGGCAACAAAGACTAGGTGGTAATGATGGTATCAATTGTCAGCGAGTTTGGAAGTTTGAAGTAGGTTTTTTGCTACACCCTCTTGTCTAATGGTCCCATGGCTGTCCACAAAAATCACCATGGTGGTGGGACTTTCTTTTTTTAACTTCTGAGGTGAGGGTTGTATCAAGAGCCCATCATTGTTGCGGAAATAATAGTATTTATTTATAATGGGAATAAATATAATACTTACCAGGCAGATGGACTGACCAACATTAACCTCAAGCGAGTCCTAAGGATAAAAATGGCCAAATTAATAAACATATAAGGCTTTCAAGTCTAAGTTTGCATGGCGTCCAGATTCATGAGCAATTAGGACCTAACAGGAAGTCCTTGGCCAGATTATAGATTTGTATTGTACGAGTGTGATCCATCTATATCCTTGTTTCCAAAAAATTATTATGATTGTTGCTCTCTTGTTCAGTGCCTTCTGTTTTGCAGTCAACTTGATTGTCACTACAACCCTTGTGGTCAACATGATTTGTACCTTTAATACTATTTAATTAGTCGATATACAACTTATACATTATCCGTACTTTCATCAATATATTTCTGTAATAAGTGCATTAAAACGTGTTAAATTGAGCTAGGCTGTCGAGGGACCATCTAGCGCTTGATTGCCCAAGGTGGGGATCAAGCAGACGCTTAAGCTGAAGCATAAGGGGTTCATTCAAATATACAGGATATCATTTCTTTCTAGATTATGTAAACATATGAGAATTCAAATTTCTGATTAGTTTGACTTATATACATTATTAATCTCATTATTCCATTGATACAAACTCGGAAAAATTGGAAATATTTTATCCAAGTTAATTAATCAATGCATAACCTTTTGAGAGGCTTAATTTAACGACTAATTGCTGATGCAGCAATGGGGGAAGTACTATGTGACCTGAACTAATCGAAGCGGTATCATAATGTGTAGTTGGCTGCTTAAGTGGGGTTGGAACTCTTAGGACACTGGGTGCAATGCGTACTTTATGCAAGAATGTATGATTAGTTGGCTTCATTCTTTATACATGTCTCCTGAATATTTTTCCTTTCAGACATGCCTGGTTGGAGCTGGTCCTGATGGCAAACATACAGCTCTAGAAGCTGTCACGATAGTTCTTGATCTGCCACCTCCACAACCTGGTTCTATGTCTGGGCTTACATCAATTGATAGGGTATTTGCATCTGATCCAAAGTCGGCCTTGGCTTTACAGAGGCTAGTCCAAGCAGCGGTAGGGGCATGTTATGTAAAATGGATATTCAATGAGTTGATTACAGATGATCTGTTACCGAGTATATTGTAATGACTTGATAAAACACTTACAGGTGTGGTTCCTTGGTGAAAATGCAAATTATGCTGCAACTGAGTATGCATGGGAATCAGCAACCCCTCCTGGGACTGCACTGATGATGTTAGATGCAGATAAAATGGTTGCAGCTGCTAGTTCTCGCAATCCAACTCTAGCTAATGCTCTCACTCGACTGCAGCGATGTGCTTTCATTGGCAGCTGGGAGGTACGGTGTTCCATCTTGCATTTTTGATACTTGATGTTTGTCATGTCGCATTCATTCAATTATTAGCGGTGCCTTTTCTTTTTACAGTCCTCTATTATAGTGGAAAACTGGACTTGTAAATGATTCTGCTTCTCACTCTTTTTGACTTGTGTATATATCATAGAGTATGATCTATATGAGTCATTTATTTCTTTTAAAAACTTGTAGAGGCTATATAGAGTACACTATATTTAACTCTCTTGCAGAATTCATAAATATTTCACACACACATACTGACATACATACATACATATAATACACACATGTATAATACCTATGGATACATGCTATAACACATACATACATATTATACACATATATATATAATATATACCGACATGCATAAATGTATACATACACACACTGACATACATGTATATAGTCACAAAATCACATATACTTACATGCATACATGTATACGTACACACACTGACATACTTGTATATAGTCACAAAATCACATATACACATGCATACATGTATACATACACACACTGACATACATGTATATAGTCATAAAATCATATATACACACATGCATACATATATATAGAGAGAGAGAGACTCACATACTCATATATGCATAAACACATATACATACACATACATACAGGGAGCTAAACATTTGAGAACCCACAAAATTGTGAGAACCATGAGAACGGTGTATCATGTGCTAATTTCATATGATTTTTTTTCATCTAAGGCTAGAATTTAGGATATTGTTAACATAATTTGTTTTACGATGTGTTTGTTTAACATGTATTTGTTTCACAATGTGAAACTTTTTAGTGTGTGAAACAAAAAATACACATAAAAAAGTTTCACATTCGAAACCAAATACATATGAAAGAATCACATTGTGAAACAAATATTTGTTAATCAATACATTAAATAGTAGCCTTAGATGGAAAAAAAATACCTGAAAAGTAAAATTTCTCACGGTTATCACAATATATGGGCTTCTCATTTGATTACGCCCCCATACATACATATGTGTATATAAGCATACACAATATAAGTATATGTATGTGTGTGCACGCTATCTACACCCATAACTATATATATATATATATATATATATATATATATATATATTCACACACATAGATATGTATATGTACGTACTTGCTTATAGATACATACATATATATACACATGCACACACACATAAAACACAAGTGCGTAGACATAGATGTATAGCTATATACGTATATTGTATATGTATATATGTGTATCTGATTCATATGCTATAGCCAACATTATATGTTACTATTTTGTAGACTCTCATATGCTATACAGTAGTATATGCCAACTTGGCTTCATGCTATGGTGCTAACACACTTGTGTTAGGAGACAGGTACGAATCCGGCCTATGGATATGCCATTCCCATCCTTCTAAAGGGGGGAAATTTTCCTGGTTTGTGTAGAGGGGGTGCTTTGCATGAACCATTGTGGACTAGGAAGACCAAAAGTGTTGATATGGACCCTCCAAGAATAAGCTTGAGAACCCATTTGTATATATGGACCTTGCACAACACATTAACTTGAAAACCCTGAGAACCGATTTAGCACTAGACCCTAAGAAGGTTAGAAAATCAGATTACTTAGGGTTGAACAAAAGATTGGAATGAGAAAACTTGTTTCTGAATTTCAATTTGAAACACTTCACAAGAAGTTGATCAAGCTCTTTGAATGTTTCTTAAGTCAAAATTCAATAGAAGGTCTTAAAACATAACCAAAGGCTTTCTTAGCCTCTATAAAAAACAAACCCTGATAAAGTTAAGAACATAAAAATACCTAAGAAATTGGAAACTAACTTTAATAAAACTCTAATTACATAAAACATTCGGGTTGGAACTTTTTTGAATAAAATTCATATGGCCCAAAATCCCTTATAATGCCCTATCTAAACAAAGTATAAATAGTTCTTTATGCACAAAAACACACCCATAAGCATAAGTGGCCCACTGCATTGAACTTGGTCTTCATATTGCTCGAATGCTTTGATATCCTTGTAAACCTTCACTAACTGAGTTCACTAAGCCTTATAGATAATGAATTAAGGCTTATTGTAATTTCTTGGATCCGGATCTTACTATAGGTCCTTGTGGCATGCTAATCAGATTGAAGATTTCTTGATCATTACCTTCTTGATCTTCTCTTTTCATTGTGTGCAGGCTGTAGCATAACAAGTATTGATGCCACAATTTAAAAAAAAAAGTATATATGTAACTCATATAATAGCCTAGATACAATATATATATGGTTTTTCTTTTTATTTCTTAATGATGTAATGCACATACTCACAGCGATATATATTTATATATATCTATACACACTGAGACAGAAATAAAGATATTTATGTTATATTTTCGACTTATGTTTGGGGGTTTCTTTCTTTTATTTTTCCTGTGCGGCCTACTTAATTCTTTATATTCACAGTCCACCCCTATGATGCATGTGGACAAGTTGGGGTGCCGTTTCTCATGCATTCTTGTGATCGGTATTTTTCATCACAGGTTCGTATCATTGCTGCCCAGGCTCTTACTACCATGGCAATTAGATCGGGTGAGCCTTATAGGATACAGATCTATGAATTTTTACATGCTCTAGCAGAAGGGGGCGTGCAGTCTCAGTTTTCAGATATGCATATTAGTAATGGGGAAGATCAAGGAGCTAGCGGTACTGGTCTTGGATCTTTGCTTAGTCCAATGCTGAAAGTCCTGGATGACATGTATAGTGCACAAGATGATCTGATAAAGTGCGTACGAGTAATTGTTTATTTAGTTTCTGCAATTGTTCTATAAATACATGTCACATCGCCAGACTGTACTCCAAACTCCGTATGAATATTTTTGTACTTGAGGTTGCAGAGAAATGCGCAACCATGATAATGCCAAAAAAGAGTGGACTGATGAAGAACTAAAGAAGCTATACGAGACACATGAAAGGCTTCTAGATCTTGTTTCACTATTCTGTTATGTTCCAAGATCAAAGTATCTACCTCTAGGGCCAACAAGGTAAGTGTCTTGTTGATGTTGATTCTCCTTGGAGTGAAAATAACAAATTGACTGCAAGAGGTATGAAACTAGTGGCATCACTATTTTCATCACCGATTGACATATTTGTTATACTCAATAGCTTTTTTATTTTCTTGATCTTCATTGGTTCTTAAATTACATTGAATTCATTGTAACTTACTGGCTTGTTTCTAGTTGATGCAGAAGCACATAATAATTAGAACATTTCTATGAAAAACTAGTATCATTGCCATCTAAATACAATTAATAAATATGCTGGTTCTTCTATTGTATCTACTCTGCTTAAATTGTTTACAAAAGTTATATATATGGATGGCTGTTCTCTGGGATACCTTGTCATAGATAATGCTTAGATGAGGGCTTCCCGCACCCACATTTAGGGCCTACTAGGTCGACCTACCAGGCTCTGTGTACCCCACATGACAAGTAATGCTTGAGGAAAGGGCCTCTCAACATGAAAAGTCCCTGGCCTCGTGGTGGGCATTACCAAGGATCAAGAAACTGAGAGAGAGAGCGAGCGAGAGAGAGAGAGAGAGATAAAAGAAACTCAAATTGGAGAAATATAGAAATAAAATATGCAATTAAGCTGAGATTGATGAAGATGCATTTTTGGAAGCACAACAACTTAGCCAAAAGTCGTTCTTTTTTGATGTAGAGGAAGCTAACACATCGAGACATCTCACTTCTTTTTATCTCAATCTACAACAGTGCAAAACTTATTGACATCTATCGCAATCGGCATAATATTACTGCATCAACTGGCATGAGAGATCCTGCTGTTGCTACAGGGATTTCTGAACTCATATATGAAGCCACTAAACCTGCACCTGCAGAGCCTGACAATATTGATGACGATCTGGTAAATGCCTGGGCAACCGGTCTTGCTGATGATGGTTTATGGGGAAACAATGCTCCTGCAATGAATAGGGTGAGAAACGATCTAATTTGGTACCCACATATGAACTTTCTTGTCTTGATCTTTTCTGCTTACAATATCTCTTAATGTCATTTTTATGCTTGCTAAAGAGCCAAAGGAGAGTACAAGCGCTGATTCATGGAGTTGAGTATGTTGTGAATGCTTTACCGAAGGCAATTATATCAACCTTGATCAAGTTGATTCTCAGTTTGTTTTGAAGCGGTTGTGCACTATACTGGGGTTGAGTTGGCCTTGTAATCAACTACTAATGATAAGTTCATAGATAATTTAATATATCTTCCTAAGAAACATGTAACAAACGATATATATATACAAATGTATTTCTTACTCAGAGAGAAGGGAATACCATGGCATCAACCCAAGACATCGGGGCTGAGAAGCCAAATAGACAACTGTTAATGGAAAAGAAACACCTTTTTGTAGAAAATTATAACAAAAACGCGACATGTTTTCAAGAGTAAGGAATAAGAGTTGCACGGTAAAAAAACTGCCCAAACAAAGTCTCTTTGATCCTCAGAAAAAGTATTAGGAGTGTTACGTCTACTAGTTGTTTTAGTTCAAAAACAGGTTTCTTTCAGGGTCCCAACTCAGCAATAATAGTCATTTTCCAGGGCTTGAGTAGTTCTCCGTCTATGAAGACTGTATGTCCTGTACCTTTCTGTTAGGGACATTGGTGTACCTGTAGAGGATTTACCTTTTGTTTGTTGATGTGATATGCACATAGGAAACCTTGACTTTGATTCTCTTTTTTTTTCTCTTGGAAATTCTACATGAAGTTGAGAGATGTTGGAGATGTCTTCTTGCCATATAAGTAAACCTTTAAACCTACCCCTTAGTCTTCCTTTACCACTTTCTAAGTATCTACTTTATCATAGACCAATTTTGCTGAAGGTTAGTGCCTGTGTAACAGTCCATGAACCACCAGGAAGATAATGGAAGTGGCTTTCCAAGAAGATTTGGAGACTTCAAAATATAATCTCTTATTGTCTCCTGCAGAAAGCAGGGAAGATATCTGATTGAAGTTCAAAATTCTCTCTACTAACTCTGATTGCTGCTGTTCTTTGTTGTATTTGTATCACAACCATTCTTGTCTGCTGGTCAAGAAAAAGACCACCAAAAATGAGCCCTTAATGGTGTTGCAAAATGAATTTTATGCAATGCTGGAGAGTCAAGGCCTTCAATTTCATGAAGTCTTCTTGTGGACGGCTGATTTAAGTAGTATATTCAGCATCTTAACATGTGATTATGAGGCCTTTGATGATAATAATTGAGACGTTAAATAATGCATGGTCTAAATAACGAGTCCAAAATGCTGTAGCTTGTGCAGCTATGCTGTTGCTGGTGTAACAAAACTTAGCTGTTGAATGACATGCTCATATCATGCAAATTGTAGTTTTTTTGGGAATGGGGAATTTTTGCAATTGCAATGTTATGAAGACATAGTTGTACTGTATTTATTCTCCAAAAGGGAATGAGATCATCCTACTGGAAAACTGACTTTTGATGTAAATCAACTCAGGTGTAGTATAAATAGTTCCCATTACCTTAGCCAGTTACTTGAACTGAAACCATCTTCTTGGAGTGGCATTATACATCACCAATATTGTGTGAAGGAAAGTCAAGAAAGTTGAAGATAATTATGAACTATAGTCAATTTAATGGCACTCGAGCGGAAATTAATTCCAGATGGTGAAGCTTCTAAGCTTCCAGTATCATTTTGTTTTATCTGCACTTATATGATGCTATATATATTTTACCTGTTGAGCCTTATGGGTATATGGTTCAAACTGGTGAGTAGTCCATCAACAAACAATAATGCCTTGGTTGACATGTTATCGGCAAGCAGAAGAAGCTTCATCTAGTTACATGAGTTGATGATAACGATTTGAGAAAGAGTTTTCTATTGATGGAATTATTAATGTCATTAGAAAGATTTTGTTAGCACCTTGAAATCTATTATATTCACTAGTGAATTGTTCTCTAGATTTGGTTATGAAGATTGCTTCTAGGTATAAAAGTTTTTTACTTCCAATAAATCTTTGCCGCACCCTCTATTAAGGTTGCTTCTAGGAAAATCTGTCAGCTGTGATAATAGAATAGGAGAAAGAGGATCCATGAAATAGTTACGTATGTAAGGTAATAATGCTGCTTCCATCCTAGCATTTTTCTCAAACAATCCAACAACTTTTGGATCTGTAATCTCACTGATCCACTCTGGTTCTTATCAAACTATTCCTTACGACTTCTTTATGCAATTTATGCAAACTGAACTTCAGAATACAGACAGAATGAATAAGCAAAATATTGCACACAAATGCTTTTAGCAATAACCTATTACAAGTCATATTGCTGGAAAACTTGATTTTAGTAATTTCAAAAAATTCAAGTGAGGTGAAAGTGTATATAAAAGCTTGAAATTCAGCCAGTCTGTTGATTGAAATTATCTTTCATCTTCAATTTTAGCATTACACAGGTCTTGGTTTTCACATGACATCTCAAGAAGTGAAGGATTGCAACTTTAAGGGGTAACATAGTTACAGTAGAAGTAAATCAATTAATTTTTACTTATCTGGATTAGGTATCTTAAAAAACTTGATAGTAGTTGTCCCCCAACACTGCAAAGTTCATTATTTTTAATTGAACATGCAATGGCATGGCTTGAATTTAAGTCTCCTTGCTTTATTGAAGATAATCTACTGCTCATTTATAATCTGATAATATAACTTGGTCTTGCTTTTCATAGGTTAACGAGTTTCTTGCTGGTGCTGGTACCGATGCACCTGATGTTGATGAGAACATTATTTCTAGACCTTCCATGAGTTATGATGATATGTGGGCAAAAACTCTTTTAGAGACTGCAGAAGTTGACGTAAGAATTCTGTGTTAGCATGTGGTCTGGTGCATGGATCATTGTGCACTATGATTTAAGATATTTATATGTTTCATGCAGGACGATGATGGGAGGTCTTCTGGATCTTCTTCTCCTGATTCAGTAGGGTCAGTTGAGACGTCAATTTCGTCTCACTTTGGAGGAATGACTTATCCGTCATTGTTCAGTTCCAAACCATCTACTTATGGGTCTTCACAACCAACGGTACGTAGATGATGAAAACTAGAGTTATTCCATTAAATGAGATAATGTAAGTGGTGTTAATGTTCCTATAAATTATTTTAAATGAAAGTCATATGTTGGTTTATCATGAATTTAGTTATACATAAATTGTACTTGCATTTTAGTCATTTGCCAACTTTGTTAGAAAACATTCCAAATAGAATCAACTACATGTTGTCAGAACATTTTTGAGTCATGAATTTTTAGTGAAGAATAATGATCGGTTAGCAAACATTATAATTGTGTAGAAATCCATAGAGTACAACTTTGGTCCTAATAGTGATTTTTCATCAGCTTCTTCTGTCTTGGAAGTAATAATTCACGGTTTTACTTATCTCCTTTTCGTTTAGATCACAGATTACAATTCGAGAGTTGGTGTGTAGTTTTGATTTTTGAGGGCGTCATTGGTCCCCTTGGCTTTGTTTAAATGAAGAGAGTAGAGTGACTCCATCTGTCCCAAAATAAATGTCCACAATAAAAAAGGCACAAAGTTTGAGAAAGATGTAATTATTACACTTTTTAATTAACTAAATGACAATTCCAACCCAAATAATAGAAGGAATAATGATAATTACGGGTAGAATTGGAAAGCATATATTTTCTTCTTGTAAATTTACCTACCTGATAACGCAAATAAGTATTGTTAGGTAAAAGGTTATTTAATGAAACGTTTTGATATAATTGCAGGAGAAGTCAAGTAGTACGAGTCGGCAGAGGAAGGCTTCTGCTGGTTCCTCGTCTTATGAGGGTTATGGTTCTCCGGTTAGTGTTATTAACCAACCAACTAACCAACCAATCTGTGTTTTAAAAATGATATTTTGATGATGCTATTTTTAAAATATAGATTAGCGAAGAGCCTCCTCCATACTCATCACCTGTCCACCACCAAAGATACGAGTCATTTGAGAACCCGTTAGCTGGGCAGGGGTCAAGTAGCTTTGATTCTCATGAAGAAGAACGAGGGAATTCGCAATCTGGATCAGCGCTTTATGACTTCACTGCTGGTGGTGATGATGAGGTACCTTACCTTACCTTACCTTCATTCTTTCACTTCTGGTTTTTTGAACTTTTTGACTTACAACCCTTTATTACAGTTGAACTTAACTGCTGGAGAAGAGGTGGAAATCGAGTACGAAGTTGATGGGTGGTTCTATGTAAGTACACTACACTATCTATACATCATCATCATCATCATCTAGTCCATGCTAGAAAGCAAGCATCATTCTACCTACATAAACCAAACTAATTGAATGTGAAAATTGTTTGATCCTAAAGGGATACTTCTTTGTTTTTACGGGGGGTGTTATATCTAATAATTTTTTTTGATAATGAACGACAGGTGAAGAAAAAACGGCCTGGTCGGGATGGGAAAATGGCCGGGCTGGTTCCTGTTCTGTATGTTAGCCAGTCTTGAATGAAAACTTTGGTAGGTAATTCTTGAGATGTAGCTGTATAATATATATGTGTGTGATTTCAACATATTGGTGATGTGCAATTGATTTTTGAATTACGAGTTCGATCTTTGTGCAAAAAAGGCAGACGTTCGATTTGGCATTGGATTGAAGGATTTAGGTTTCAGTCATTGCTCGATTCATGTACAAGGCTTTCGTGTTATGATTTTTGTATTGATTTCATTTCTACTTGCTTCAGGAAGAAAAAAGAAAAGATTATGATAAATTTTTGTTTTAGAATTAGAAATTGAAAATTGATTAGGAACTCTGGAACTGTCTACAGTATGCCACATGTTTCTTTTCACAGTCATGATGAATATAGACACATTATTCATCGTGAATCACAAATATCATGAAATGATAAATATATCATAACATTTTTGATGAATAACATGTCTATAATTCCTAATGTATCTATCATGTGTCATGTTGGTTTTCAGGTTTCTAATCAATTTTTAAGTACCCAACGTAATCGCTATCGTTTATTTGATTATATTAGTGGATGATGAAATCAAAAAATCTTCAAAAAAAAATATAAATTTCCCATTTTATCCTGGTTGAGATGAAGAAAATCTCTCTCTAATCGAGGGGTAAAATTGTACTTAATAATCACATGTTATTAAAATTGTGTGTACTTTTTATTGTACACATTTATTTTCTTAATAATTTGTGAGTAAACGTTGTCCACATCCAAGTAGTGCAACTTTTGCTTAATTAAATGCTAATACATGGGGTGATGTAAGAAAAGAAGTTACAGTGAGAAGTGTAAAAAAAGATCTTAAAACTTTTAAATCATTTTTAATTCTATGTCCAACCATGAATTACGCTTTAAAAAGAAATTGATCTGGTACATTTCGGTGTACCTCATTAGTGTTGACATTCAATTAGAAGGGTGAGGATCTTTTCTTATACTTCTTACCATAACTTCCTTTCTTATCGGAACCCAACCCTGTATGGGGTGGGGTTGGGTATATATGATTTTGCTATTGCACTTGTATATGACCCAGCAACTGGAAAAATTAAAGCCATATATGTATAGTCTCCCCCGCCACCACTATCCACCATTTTCATATCCTCTACAGTCACCGTCGTCCACCTGTCACCACCACGCCTCTACACCTAGCACCGTTGTCGCTACAACAACCTCCACCATGCCTCCGTCGGTTCATAAGGATCTTCTAAACCAAACAAGTATTACCTTTCTATGAACCCGGTTTTTTTTAACTACGATCAATTATATCAAACTATTCGTTTAAATTTGATACTATAATATATGTATGTATTTATGTATAGGGAAATTGTGTAAAAATGTTTATAAATTAAATTCTTAAAATACGTACTTGATTTATGTCATTTATAACCACTATAAGATATATAAAATCAACAAATAATTTTTAGGGTTAACTTGTATAGCCCTATCCAACTGTCTTGGTCATACCAAACACTAGATAGACAACTTGTCTTGTCCTATCCTGCTCTCTTGTTATGTCCAATCATCATCTCTTGTCTTGTCCAATCCTGTACGGTCCTACCATGCCTGTGTACCAAACACTACCTAAAGGTGCACCCACTTTGAAAAAATCTTGGGTCCGCCACTAACCTATATGCAATTTTTGTAAGGCGTTATTTGATTTTTCTTATCTTTTTAGTGTCTTACTTTTTAACTTTTAGTAAATAACCTAATTCGTATCATTCAATATCATTGATTCGTTGAGTAACAATAGGAAATATTGTTTATATACATAAAATTGTATTTATGATATTATATATATATATATATATATATATATATATATATATATATGACGCCATAAGTAATGTCTTAAAAAATGTTGTAGTTTAGGCGTGGCTCCTAAGGCTGAGGCTTGACCTCGTCGCAGTGCCACATTTTATGCCATTTAGTACCCGGAGAACGGTTTATATAATTCAATCATTTTTAATCATTGCTTAAAAATTAAACACAAAACTAAGAGATAATTTACCAAACACTTGTTGTGCAAACACTTACCGAGTGGCACTCGCTTTACAGGTGAACATGGTAAAGACCAACAATCTTATTTGGTAAGAAGCATAATAAAGACCAATAATCTTAACCGGTAAGTGGGGGAGAAGTCTCAAACCCGGTTAGCACTTACAAGACAAGAGACGTTTAACAACGATTCATTTTGATGACCGAAAATATTACTCCATAATATAAGTAAGAATGGTTACTCTTGTAAACAGTTGTGGCACTCTATTGGAGGTGGGGGAAAGGCCCCACTGAAACCAAAAGATTAAGAGAAATATAAAAATTTACCCCCATACTTTCTTCTTATTTACCTCTAGGCTCCCATCTTTTTGGGTTAGCGACCCATACTGACTCTCCCCATTTCCAAGAGTCTCCAACGACCAATAAGCTCAATTCAATTCATATAAAAGTGATATAAATAAAACAATAGTACGTGTTATTCGATTTAACCGGAATAGTAAAAAGAAACTGAACACATGAATCGTTAACTTAAAAACCGAATAAATCAAAACCGTTTTGATTTGAATGGGTTATTTTGCTTCAAAAACTTTTACACCCTTAAAGTGTACTCCAGTCACTTGAATTTCTAGATTCGTTAGTGCCAGTAAGTGTTTGATAAAGAGCCTCTAACAATTTTTAGTAAATGAACGAATAAATGACTAAGCAAATAAACAACTTGATGATTAAGCATAAAACAAGCATCCCCTTGGTTGTAGAATAAGCATAGAGGTTATAGGACTCTAAAGGCCAAAGGGACTACTTGGGCAAAGGATGAGAAATCAGGTGAGGTTCAAGACTTGTTTTGGGATAAAAATCTCCTTTTCTAAATTCTTACATTTCATTACTATCCATAATCACATAAATACACATCATTAGAGAGATAATATGAACTTGATTACATAAATTTAAAGTATACAAAATCCTGATTTCATTGGTGAGACTTGGGATTTCGAGACAGAAGATTTTTATCCCTCGTTTTGGGCCTAAGCCCATGTATACATTTCTCGGTGCAAGTTACTTGAACTTCGTTCTCACCTTGAAGCGTTGGTATAGCATGGGCTCAGTCGAGGTACATGTAAACTGCCATGGTTACTAAAAGAAACCATAGCATGTCAAAGTGCATAAAAGTAGCATCACAAAATGAAGAATGGAAGTCGTAACACCACTGTTGAAAGGACCTCGGTTATGGCTGGACCTCCATTCTTCAATTTGTCCTCCATCTATCACATCACACCCCTATCTGGCCCAAACTTTGCTAACGATTTCATGTGAGAAAAAGAGTTAAGGTGAGAAACATAAGAAAATATCTGAACCCTTGATCACTTTTAATCTCATGCCACTCATAAATTGTGTCTTAGAAGGTAATTGATTTGGTGCATCTCGGTGCACCTCATTAGTGGTGACATTCAATTACGATTGATCAAAGGTTGGAGTCCCTTCTTACGCTATATGGGTTCCTGTGAGAAGGGAAGTTATGGTGAGAAGCGTAAGAAGAGATATCTACCTTTGGATGCACATTAGGATGAGATGCAATGAGATGAGATGCATCAGATCAATCTCCATAGCTAGTGCAATTCATGGGTGGGTTGGAGATTAAAGGTGATCAACGGTCCAGATCCCTTCTTACGCTTTTCACCTCAACTCTCCTTCTCACACGATCTTCCGTCCATATATATATATATGTGTGTGTGTGTATATATATATTCCATCAGCAAGATCAAAGTTTGCAAGATAAATAAAGTCGAAATCTTACTCATTTTGAAAGGTATACATTGTGTTAAACATTTACAAAGCAAAACACCAGCTAAGGTAAAATGTAAATAATATTAACGAATTAGCCATCAATGATACCACTATTGGGGCATAAATAGCGAACGAATAGATATCAGTCACTTGTATTTTCATGGGAAGATCAAATAAAGACGGGCATGTTAAATGTCTAATGCTTCCTCACCTCAGGGCAGGCCACTGAGAATGCAGAAAGGCAGGCACTATAAACTTGGCGATTGCCATCAAAATCATTTTTAAGGCATTTCCATCGGCCTTGGACAGGAACTGTGCATTCTTAATGAATGTGCATCCATCATTTGAAATGGTCGGGTTGAATTATGGCAACAACTTCGGGGCATGATTCTTCGTCATCTTTCTGCTTCCATATTTCCCCATTTGCATGCACGATCCATGATATTTGAGGAGAGAGTGATGAATACATGTCTGCAAAGTTATCAAACAATTTTCAAATTACTGGGAAACAAAATATCTAACAGATATTAATGAATTAAAAAAGCCTTTTGGATACCCTGAGAAAAGCAGAGCATGCATGATATTGCTTGGTAAATGTGTTGAGAAATGTATGCTTATATTTCCTTCTTAGATAACTTATCCCAGACTGAGGTTGGTTCAGGTGAAAGGGTATATACATATATATATAGGACATCCATATTCACCATCTCCTAGAAATTAAGCTCCACAGTGCTACAGGATAATAATGTCTGGTATTAAAGGACATTCTTGCATCTTTTAGAACTCTCTCTTGATGCATTTAACAGTCTTGAGCATGAAGAAGAAGCTAAAAAGTTTCTAGATCCTAGTGGATTGTCGATATATCTTCTCCAACGGAGGATCTAAAACATACTAGCCGTTTTCTAGGATGACCGCTAGGACAAATTCCCATTTCATGTAGTCTTAAGACTAATGACGTCATACTCTTTAGGTCTCATTTGGTTGAGGGGTTTGATAGGATATGGAATTGGATTCCATTCCCATCCTATGTTTGGTTTGGAGGAATATGTTTAGATTTGAAATCCCACAAACATGGGATTTAGAAATCCCATGGGAGTAGTTAGTACTTCGTGGGATTTCATAGCATGTGTTTTTAATAATGTTCTAAAATACTTAAAAACCCCTTGTTTTATAATAATCAATTAATATAAAAAGGCAGTTTAATTATTTTTTCATAAATTATTTATAAAGAATGGAATTCAATTCCATTCCAAATCCTACCAAAGATTCCAAATCCTTCCACAAAATCCAAATTCTTCAAAAACATTTTGTCCCCTTAGGCTAATATGGAGGAACATAGAAGTTCATGCTGATATGGAATGATCCTCTATGGTTGAAATCTCCTAGAGGGTTGCAATTATTTCCTGACAAGGTAACTGCTGGCCATTGTTCTATTGCTAGTAATTTGTTCTAGTATTATCATTTTCTAATCCATTGGAGCAATCAATGAGGATTTAGGCAACTTTGTTCTAGTATTATAATTTTCTCATCCTCTGAAGCACCCCCACTACACCGGTCCCACGACCATCATGGGAAGGAAAATCATGGTATTCGAGAGGTGGTGCTCGGGTTCGTACCTGCAACCTCAATTTAAAATTCCTCCTCCTAACCATCACGACAATTCAACAAGGAAAAACAACGATGATTATTACATGAGAATCCCCACCATTTGACTATAAATTTTTCACAAAATCATTATAGATTTGTTGGTTGGTTCCTTGCCTTTCCAAGGAAAAGTCCCGTGTTCGAACCTTCTCACAACCTTTTTATTCCAATTGTTTGTAGAAAACCAAAAGTTATAGAAAAAACACAAAGTTAAAAGCTGAAAAACAAGAAATTTGCCAAACAAGGATTCGAACCCATGTCAAGGGATTCAAACAACTTTGCCACCACAAACTTGTGTCATTAGTTTAGTTTCAAGAAATATCCTTTACATAGAGCAAAACATTACGGTGGCACCCTTTAGGAACGCAACTTTTTTCCATTACGACAGAACCATGAAGTGGTGGCACAGATCACCGTATGCCCCTGTATAAGTCCGCCCATGCCATCTAATTACATTACATGTGACCAAAAACTACCATTTGTATGGCTCTCTGAAATGCAACAAATATTATGTTTGTTAATATGACCTCCCACAAAGAAGAAATTTGAAACCATCTCCAGCCTTCTTCTGCTAAGACCTCATTGTCAATTATCACATGATTCTTATGTCATAGCTCGACACCAGATGTGAACGTGAAGGCTACTGAGGCAAAAGACTTTACACTTATTCCTGTTAATACCATCATTTATGAAGTAAACCAAAATAAAACTTGTTTTAGCTTTATCGAGGGTTCATTCTCCATGTATTCCAATTATCGACCAGTAGTACTTCTTTGGTCATCTCCTCTCTTGCCATGACCTATCATCTTCATCGCATGTTGTAACCCTCAAATGGCTTCCTAAGGTCCTGCTAATGATACATCAGCCTTGGTTACTTCTAGAGGAAAAACTCAAAAACCTGGGAAATGAGGAAGATTAAGCACGAGCAATTCGGCCACATCAAGCGAGACAATAGGGGCTAAGTTATCAATCACCTCCACATCCACCTATCCTCACGTAGTATTTCATGCACTTTTCTCTAGGCATCTTCTTTATATCTTGGGTCATTGATATAGATGCCACCAAACCACATGATTATATGAAACTACTATCTTATGTAGATACCTCATCTTCCTATTCCCCTGTTAGATTAGCTTAATGGTTCCACATGTCCTAGTATTGGCATCAACTTAAATCATACCATACAAAGCTTTCCTTCACCCTGTTCTTGTATCTCCTTATTTCAATTAGCCAAATAAGTAAAACTCTCAACCGTTCAATAACTTTCTTTCCCTCTCATTGTTTTCTAACGAAGCAGGGATAAATTAGTTGGTTAGCACAAGTTTTGGTGCATGTTTCATGTTATCTTGTGGCAAATTTGTCTAAGACTGATATTAAGATCACCAGTTAGGGCATCCTTCTCTCCTGCTCTAAAAAACAAGAGTTTAACTGTATTATTTTGTTAGTCATGGTGGTAATGGAAACATAGCTGCATCCATATTCCCTTAGGGTGGCTAGTAATATCAGTTTGTCATTTTCTTTAGTTTATACCTACGTTTGGAGCCTTGTCCTGTTATTTCAGTTTATGATTCAGTATCTTACGTTTGTCGACAATTATTTTTGTGCTACTTGGTTATTTAGTAAAATCCAGATATGAAATTAACTTTTGTTATGTTTCATGCTTACATACAAAATTTTATGTATCTATTAGTAGCTTGCATGATGGTCACAAAGAAATATTTCAACTGATTTTTATTACTTCCGTCTCAAAATGGAATTTCATACTAGTCATTTTGCAATGGTATTGCTGAAAGTAAAATCCCCCATTTACGTGACGTTACACACACACTTTAATTCATTAAGTTCCTCCGCAATTTCGAAGGCTAACTTCATGTACCCTTAATTCTTGGGGATGTATGTTTTCTCCACGAATATCACCGGCATATACTTAAGTTGATCCTAAATCACTTGTGTGTCTTAGGGAATAGGTGTTTTGGTCACTCTCTTATATGATATTTCACCAAGGCTCATGTCATCTTCAATTAATCAGAGTCATATTTATCTTGCTTATACGCTTTCATTCACCTCCTCCATTTACTTTTAGAATATTCTGAAAACATGGTGTTGTCTATGTTTCCTTTGGGTAGGCTGGTCTGTCAATTTTACACGCATCAACAAAGGCATCCAACCGGTAAAATCTCCCTGAGAAGCCATTATATGATATACATTACCAATATATCTTCCCATAGCCCATCTTCTTGTGACACCCATCATAACGCAAGGTATGTCCACATACTGCTATCACCCTTAATTCATGTGCTTTCACAACTGACATAAACAACCATCCCAAAATTTAAAGACAAGGATGGATCAAGGCCATGCAAGAAGATATGGAGACCTTGCAAGAAATAATAGTTGTGTTTTGACATCTTTTCCTACTAGGAAGTAAACTGGTGATCAAAACAGGTATTTGTAGTCAAGCTTCATCCTTTTGTATACTTAGGCTTTTGGTCACCTCAAAGGTCGAATTGTTGCCAAAAAGTATACTTATACATACGGTAATGTTGATGCAACCTTCTCTTTGATATCTCTTCGCATATATGTTGCTTTAAATGCTTTCTATCAATCATTCACCTTTTCATCAAGTAGATGTCAAAAAAGGTATTAGCAGCTTTCTTGAGGAGGAATCAACCACTCAGTTTATAACCAGAAGGAAGCCCTAAAGGGTTGTAGCCTCCAGCGATCCCTGTATTATCCCAGAACTTGTTTTGGCTGATTCTGTCAAGTTATTCCATGGTTTTGGATTTACTCAAATCAACTATAATTATTCTATTTTTTTATAGCATTGACAAGGGCATTCACATTATTTTGTAGTGTGCATCAATGACATTATTTTGTAGCCATGTATAACATTCCTTTTAAGGCTACGTGGCTCAACTAGAACATTGTTGATACTAGGTTGCACAGTTTTTTGATAAAAAATGCAAGTCTTTGACACTAGTCATATAGGAAATACATAGGACTTACAATTCTCTAAAATGCATATTAGTGGAATTAATTAGTGCATCAAAGCTTAGAAAATCAAAAATACACATGTATTGCTCTCTTTTACGGTCGATAGTCTTCCTAGTTTCATAAAGAACTTGATAACTGCACACCATCACCACACTCACTAGACTAGATTCCAAAATACCGTGATAACTCAATGAATTACGTGGCTTAAGGATGAGCAAACAGAATAAGCTTGACTCCCTTTTTTCTATTTGACATTGAAAAACAAGAAATGATGTGTACTTAGATCCTAGGAGCACAAAATCAATCAATTGCCAACATAACAAAGTCGACTTGCAGACAACTGCATGTCTTACCTTCTAGACAACAATCACGCTGATCTACATCCAAAAAATCAATAACATATATAACCCAAAATATCCAACTGTTTCATAAGTTACCTGAAACAGGGGGTGGATCGGGTTCTCTTGTGCTATGCAAAATCATGGTACCAGAAAGCACGGTCATGAACCCACAGAGCACAGAAATAATCGTGCTAGCACTCTGACCAGACCAATCCTATGATGAGAAAAAAATAAGTTGCAGTACAGAAGGAATGTGGGAACGCCTTTATCTCATGCAATAGTGAATATACCTTGAACATGATGGCACTAGCGAGAATTGTGAAAGATGTGAACATGGCATAATAGATTGGTGAAACAACTGCGGTGTTAAATGTATCCAAGGCCTGATAAAAAAATTCATAATGAAGGAATTTCGTAAGACGATAAGAAACAAATTAACAAAGAGTTTAAATCAACTGTGACATAATATCTACAGACAGAAATTCAGGCAATTAATTTAGAAAAGCAGTATATGACTTCTCTTAGATATTTATTACTCAAATGACATTACCATGGCAACTGTAGCCCTTAATGATTTATAAAAAGTAACTGTGAATAATAATCTACATTATAATGCAAGTAATTGATGTTATCGATAGGAGAAACTGAGTTGATCTAGCAAAACCCCACCACTAGTTTGCAACAACCTTTCATGATTCCATTCAAACGTAAAACTAATGGTCGAATTATCAACTAGAGTCGTAATAAATTTAAGGAACCATTGCAATCCTCAGATGTAAAACTTTTGCTGCATAGGAGGAAATTAATAACAAGAGTTATGTGTGGCCCCTTGAGAAGAAGACCACCTACAAACTATGTTGATGTGATTATGGATATGTAAGATCCACTAAGATGGCAAGATGGTAAAACTAGTGTCACTTTGCTTTGGTTATGGACTAGCTCGCCAAGACCCTGTTCAGGATATACCAATAAATGATGAGACTAGGTCAGGCTTAGATACATAAACTAGAGGTTGTGGAACACACTCTTGAATCAAATTTTAGAGTGTGTGGTGGCGGAAAAACAGTCTACATGAAGTGTAGTTTTAGTGGTGTAAAGAAGACGAGGGGAATCATTCGCGATACCCATCCGGGCATCGCTCACTGCGAGGACAGAGAGACCTCCTAAGCCATTTCACTCAAAGGGTTGAAGAGAGATAGTGCATCAAGCTGTTCGCAAGGGCCAACTTGATCCTCAGAAGGCAGGAGAGGAAGTTAACTAGCTATGTCCCTACAGAAAGTCATTAGTTTAGTGATTGATATCTTAGAGAAGATGGTAAAGTAAAAACAGGATATATTCCAACCAAAGGGCCTTTGGCCTAGCAGTATCCAGGTTACCAGTAGAGCCCATCCTCCCAACAGGTTGAGGGTTCAAACTTCACCAAGGGCGAGGAGGGGGTATGAATTAATTTGCCGTATGTAGATACTATATATGTCAAAAGAAGAAGGATATATTCCTGTATTTAGGGTTAATGTTACAAAAAGATGGGCAGACAGTCCAAGACATTAGTCATAGAATATGAGCATGGAGGATGAGATGGAAGCAAGCATCAGAAATCTTACATGACCTTATAATACAACTAAAGCTGGATGGTAAATTTGGTAGCATCATATGCATTTGTGGAACTGAACGATGGGACTTGGTACCCACAAGATGAGGGTGGTAATGCTAATCTTGAGTGGATGTATGGAGACACAAGCAAGACTTGTACAAAGGATAAGACTGACATGAGGAAGGACTATCTTGTAAACTTCATGTTCTTGATAACCCAAGAACTCTTTGGAGTTCCTCAAAGTCTAAATACTCTTCCAAATTTCTAAAATTTAAGGTTCAATTGTTTTTGTCATGCAACATCCTTATTTTTTCAAATCTCATTTATATGACGTAAGAGGATATGTGGATGTGATAGTTCTTTACAAATCTTTGCAAGTCCATGGACTCTTGCAATTTGATGACATCATCAAATCACAAGTTAATATGTTATAAAACTTTAAGTGTAATATGGCAAAGGTTTATTATCCATGTCGCAAGTTTGGAAGAGTCCCATATGCAAGGTATTCAAATTTAGGGGGTATGATTGTAGTCCAAGATAAGAACTTAACGAGGGCTATGGAAAATGTGAGCAATGCAATGTAGTGTAGATGATGATGGATGCACAATCACACATAAGTCATGACCTATTCCCCCATAAGCATAGAGTCAAGGCTCACGGCCTTGAGCATGACATGCCAATGTAGGCACACATTTTGAAATATAAGCTATACATTGGATTCCATCTATAGAATATTTTTTGAAGAGGATTTATCGAATTCTAAAAATACCTTGGCATAAAATGTGGGTTCTTGAAACTCAAGATGGAATGACCTAGGGTCAATTGAATTCTCCAAATCAGATATACTCATTTTAAGACAAGTGTTGAGAATTTTCTTTCTAAGTGCTTCATCAGATGCTAAATGTATTATTTACAGATCCGATGGTTGAGGCCAACAATTTATTTTGAGTTTTGACCCTAAATTATTTTTCGTGGTGTTCGACTTCATTTCTATTCTTCGAAGAAGCTTCAAGTATTGTATATATGAGCTAATTTATCCATCGTACTTACCATCACCAAATTTATTAACCCAAAATTGCTTCTTTGGGTAGGGTGGCTTTGGACATTGTAGGTAAGTCTTTTATTCTTCAAATTATTTACTCAGTATGTTAGATTAAAGGAGCACCCTCTAAATTCATCAATCTTGAGGCTTCATGTTAGAGTTAAATGTTTCTATTCTGTTGTGGTATCTTCGCATGACCAAGGTTAGATATCATGGTTTTAGCGTTCTTTAAAGAGTTCATATAATCGCAAATATTAAATGGCCCCCCTTATCTGTTGTCACAAACACAATCCTAAATGACAAAACTCATTGTTATATTGTTTTGAATGTTGTATTAGCTTTGCTTCATGTAACTTTAATACATGATAATCACAATTCAAGCACTTCGCTTTCCAGCCAAATACTCACAAGTTGTAGCGGAAGGTTGTGTACTTGTGGTAGTTTTCTAGAGAAAGGAACAAAACCTGAACTTGACAACTTGAGGCGTAGAAATGCTTGTATTCTTTTTAAACAAGGATGGGGCATAATTCTTTTTTTGTTGAAGTAGATAATATTTATACACGGCAAAACTAGTGGGTATAGTACTTTTTGTTTGTATCTTCAACAAGTTTTATTCAATGGTAAATATGATACGTCTATGTGGTACTTCAATTCTGTGTTTTCCCAACTTCAATATTTGTTTGAACTATTACTTTTAGACTTACCAATTAACTATGTTGCACAATTAGAGTGGGCCAATTTTTAATCTATCACACAATCATTGCATCGCGAATAAATGAAAAAATAGGTACCCATGGGTTTCTTTGGGGGCAAAATAGACAGGCACTATTTACACCAAAATATTCCACACTTTAACAACCAGTCATGTTTTATTTCAGATATAGTACCTCATTTTGTTTACTCAAAAAAGATTCAAACATTTTGGAGTGTCCCTAGTTCCTATGTCGACCATAGGATCTCGTCAAATTACTTATAGTAAATATGTTTTGAAAATGTATGTCCATGTTTCTATGTGACACATAACCACATGGTTTTTCTTTAGCAGGACCATGGAATTTTCTTATAAGTTATACCTTGTGTTTTCTATAAATCTTGCCTTCCTCTGCTGTCCCGGGAGAGTGAGTTTGTATGCCTGTTGTGTCTTTTCCTGGCTTTCTCACTAGGCAAATTATCAAGTTTGAAAGGAATCCTACACGGTTTTTTTTTGAAAAATCTTAATTTATAATGAAATAGAGGTATTTGATCAATATGATGCTCTTATTATGACGTGGAATAACTATCCTTACAGAGCATGTGTGTACATAGACTCCTTGTGCGTGTATGTGTGTGTGTTGCATGTATTATATAAAATAAGATGTGCTTTCAGCTCCAGCTTAACTATTTTACATAGAAATGTGATATTCTAATGCTTTAAACATGAAGAAAGCTATTGATTTTGTAAGCTCAACTTAATTTTCTATCTTTTCTTCTCATTTTGGTCACTGTGACACATGAATTTCTACCTTACACATTTTATTACAAAAATTTCCATATTTGGGGATTTGTCAATTATAGCACTACTCTGTAACTATTGAAAAAGTAATGCTCTTGATCATTATCCAATGTTTGTAATCACAACGGATATCCTTGCTAGAGCAAAGATTCCCCTCAAATAGCACCTAAGAAAAGCTATAAGGAACTTGTTGTAGGGAGATCACTTCCTTAAGCATCATTCACGGTGTTTGATTCACAATATATATATATATATATATATATATATATGTATAGGGTTGGGTTCCAGCGAGAAGAAAAATTAAGGTGAGAAGCGTAAGAAGAGATCTCCACCCTTGGATGCACATTAGGATGAGATGCACCGAGATGAGATGAACCAAATCAATCCCTGTATCAAGCGCAATTCATGGGTCGATTTGAGATTAAAGGTGATCAAAGGTCCAGATCCCTTTTTACGCTTCTCACCTTACCTATCCTTCTCACACGATCCTTCACCTATATGTATATATGTTACACACACATATACATATATCTTTGTGCATAATTTCTTTATAAGAGATACAATCGGAAAACTCATCAACTCCTTACCTTTGTTCTATGATAAAGCAAAAGATAATCATGCTAAATTTATATTTGAAGTATCTCCAAAAGTTGCTTCAAGCTTGAAATAAGTGCAAAAACTCAAAGAATGAACTCACAAATCTCCTCAAAGGTGAAAGCAACTGCTATATATAAATTTAAAGATGAACATAGATCGTGTGAGTAAATAACTCGTGTTGTTGATATGGGTTCATGCCCCTTAAGTTCATTGGCTAATGCTAAAGAGTCAAAAGTGAAAAAAAAAAGAGTTCTCCACAGCCCAAATGTTCATTGTATATGGGTTGTGGTTTTTGAGGTATCCTAAGCAATTCATGGAAGTATTCTCCCCACAAACAACAAATTAACGACCGGGTGGACCTAAATGGAACTTGTATGGAGGTTTCTTCGAGATGCTCTAAAAATCACACTACATTCTATGTAGCTTTGTCCATGTGTAAAATTGCTTATTTATCCTAGGTTTGTCCTTCAGTTTCTTCAGCTGATGTTTCGTAAAGTGGGCTCGCAATGTGTATTTCCTAGTTAAGATCTATTAGATTGAGCAACTCCTTGATTCAGTTATGGACAAACAAAATTTAACATGGAAATGAAGGGTGCAAGGATGGCCAACCTTGTTTAAGTAATTCAATTGAGTAACTATACATGTAGCAGCTACCATTACAAAAATCCATGTTTGGTAGCATGCCACCTGGCTTGAACCCTCTAATGTAAGTTTTATGGCGATACCTATTGCTTTGACGCTCATAACCTGCAAAAACAGAACAAAGGCAAAGAAGAAGTTAGGGAATGTGCCAACCAACACCTATTGACTCTTTGGAGTAAGCTATTTGCATGCCTATTAAAAGAAGTGCTCATCAATAATCAATACGCAAGCCATTTATGATATAAAAGACCCAGATCATCAGGATTCTTTAGATTTAGCACTGATCCAAACAAACGGTCAAAAAAAATTGTTGCTGATTTCAGTTATTATTGATTAGCATGCATTGGTCAGCCAAGTTTCCTGTGTTCAACACATCTCTTTCTTTTCTCAAAATGATTGTGGTATTTGTTTTATATGACGATTTATTTGGAGTAATATTATCCTTAATAAGGGTTTTGACACCTTGTGGTTGATTGGTTGAGGCATTTTCTCAACCCGCACACTTTAAGATAACAATGATATGATGAGTTGCAAATCTAACGGCGGTTAGAAAGTCTCAAATTCAGGATCTTCCGCCACGCGAATTTCCTGAATTGATTCATTTATTTTCATTCAAGAATGAACCTATGGCCCTAGATCCAAAACCGAAATGAACCCCTGAATTATTCTTGGTTGTGAGACACATTCACATAAAGAGCTCCAGTATAAAGATCTTCATTAGTTCGTAAACTGATTGTATACCACCACTGATAAACACCAGAATAGGCGATATTCACTGGGCCAAGAGACATTATTTAATAGCTATTTTGCTTCAATTTATTCGCTACAAATCAAGAAAAGCAATATTTTGAATGTAGGTCTGCAAAAAAGAAGCCTTTAAATGTGTATCTTAAATACTGGAATACACATATTGAAAACCTCATGCAGTTTTTCCTATTCCTTTACAGGCAACATCAAGATATATGTATGAATGATGAATTGATGATGGGAATGGCTAGATGAAACAATATTTCCTTTGGTCTTAAACATCAAGCATTAACAATAATATAAATTTATACTTTGAAACTTGACACGATTGAAGCTTGCTGTTCAAGGCCCAACAGGTTCATAGCACACTGTCAAATGAATTAAGGCCAACACCATCAGATCCCACTGTCGCATCGCATGTGGATACAATTGTCATGATTCTCTTTTGAGTTTTGCTTTATAGCCCTCACTTCCTCTATCTTGCCTGATCACAAATAGAGTTCTCATTATTTAACTGCTTCTATGTATCAACATATCTGCAAGTTGTGATGTTTAACCCCATCTGTATTGATTATTAATTTGACATTATTTTGAGAGATGACAAGGCTAGATGATTCCTTTTTGGAGAACTTCAGATAATGATGATCTTTGAATGACTCCCGTATGAGAAGGAGAGCACTTGTATTTTTATGCAGGAGATATGCCGGATTCTATCATTCTTAACAAAATCCTTAGAGTTAGTTATACAAAAGGATCACTTATTGCTCTTGATAACCCACCAATTTTGAAATGTTGAATTGGCATGTAAGTTTATTATTTTGTTCAGAATCTTCACGAGATAAAGATATCCTTCATGTGATTGGTATGATAGTACCATAGACCATCAAGGAAGCATGTTCGTTTTTCAATAGTGAAGTTAGTTTAAGAGAAACTGTCCCTCTGCTTGCCGCTGTTAACATAGTAGCATTTTTTGTTGTTTTCTGCCTAACTATTAATTGAGCTGTTCGTCAAGCTTAAATTAATATACATATATCTATCAAGTTGAAAGCATATTCTCCTGCTAACTGAGACTCTGTTGCAAAAATCAACTGATAAAATAAAAAGATTATTTCAAAAATCTGGTAATGCTACTCAATCGTATTTACCAGTCCATCACTTGTAGAAACAACATAGGAGTATTTTAAACATACAAAAAAAATGGTTCCATCCCATCATGTAAGGTGATGCACTAAGCCTTAGACCCCCGTCCACTAGTTTTTAACGAACTTTAACACAAAATTCTTGTTTGTGAAATTGCACTATGAACATAGTCAAAAATAGTGCATACGGTGGATATATGATATTCCTAACAAGTATCAGGACCATGTATGCCCCATTGTCTCTCTTCAAAGGTGGCACCGTGACAAGACCTAAGGCTTTTTAGTGTACTATACAGCGACCCGTAAATCCTTTTTCTAGAATAGAACAGAAGACAAATAACATAAAATGAACAGGATCAAGGGGCTACATAGTAAGCCTTTAGCCTGTTCTACACATCTTTATGATCAAGAACAGCCCACGCGATACATGCATTTCTTTTTTGCAAATTTCCTTTGTGCAGCAGCTCTTCAATCCATTCAAATGATATCTTTGTGGCGAAACAAGTTTTCTCTAATTATTAGTGATTCTTATCACTTGATTACGTATCTAAACCTTATTTTTCTTTTTGGTTTGCTTTTAGACTGAACTACTAACCTAATATGTTTCCCTAATCGTGTGATGGTCATCTTTTCTGTTGACTGTTGTTCATTTGATCGTTGTTGGTCATTTATTAACGATTATGCATTCTGTCTGTTAAGTAAGTTATCCTCTTGCGGTCTTGGTTTTAAAGTGCTAGCTAAAAATTTCATAATTTAATTATCACTTCAAGTTAAATTTATTATTGTCTGCTTTCAATTTCTTTTGGTTCTGTTTTTGAAAAATAGTGCATGCCAAATCATGCACTACAATCCAAGACTCATTTTCGAGTTAACACAAGCATCATGACTACTAAGAGAACTTTAGAAAGTGATAAGGATGCTGGAGTTAAAAGACATGGTCAAGGAAAACAACTGCTACTGCATACATTGCCACAATAATCTAGTGGGCGTTAATAAGGCTAGCCAAAAACACAACTTGCCAATGCTTTCATCATATAGTCAAATGTTCACCAACTCAATGAGGGAGGTAGCCAAAAAATTTTTGTGAAAAACCAATGTATGAAAGCAGCAGAAATGATCGTTATGCTTAATTTTTGGCAAAACGGCGAGATTACATCCAAGATATCTGGCCCTCTAATTGAGACATCTTCTTTATACTGGAGGGATCTATGGATGGCTGATTGTTCATTTTCAGTGAGACACTAACCCACTGTTTTCCAACCAAACCAAGGTCACCATTAAATGAAGAAGACAATGCCAAGTAGGTATCAAAGAACAATAGGTGCAAACATCAAATTGATAACCCTCCATGAGTCATATAGTTTTATATGTCTAAAAGTGTTGATATTTAAAACAAGGTTAGTCATTAGTTACACCGCTTTAATTGCACCTCATGGATCCTTACCTAATAAAAAAATAAATAAAGACTGGTGTACTAGAGTAAAGATTTGGCCAATGCCGTCTATAGTTAGCTATGCAATTCAGATATGTATAGAAATGAATTAACTCGTTTCTAAAGTTGAACATTGTCCATGCGGATATTGGTGATCAACAGAAAGTTCACAATGCACTAACCGTCAATGAACCATTTATCGAACATACGCCAATATACACCATCATATTACTCTGTCCATAGCGTGGTTCACAGTACAACACCAATACCAGGACCACAGCTATTGCTGAAGCTGTATACAAAAGAAAAGCTGGACCAAAAAGTCCATAATGATCAAGAAATATGATGTCTTATTATTGCCATCGAGGATAAGCATGACAAAAATCAAGAGATGAGTAATCAAATTGCATAGCTCACCTGGTTGTGTTGCTAAATCCCAAATTTCTTCCACGGAGCTTATGCTATGTTCACCAGGGGCATGAAGCACAATAACGGTTGACCCCACTATACAAAGCACACAACCTAATATTCCCATTTTCCGCAATTTCTCATTGAGTAAGAAATGTGCTAGAACCGCACTGCCGAGTAATTTGAAAATGCAGTAAGGTTACAGCAACAAAAGAGCACTCACTTCAATACCTAATTGATTATACAATATTCACCTGACGATAATACTCAATGCTCCCAGGGGAGTCACAAGAACAGCTGGAGCATAGATGTAAGCTACAAAATTCGCAAATTCTCCAACAACCACTGTGGATTTCAAGAATTCCCCATATTTTTCATGGTTAAATAATACTGAGAAGCATAATAAATGCATCAATATATCAATCCCAGGATAAAAGAAATGAAGATAACTTACTAGTCAACATGCCAATCCACCACAGTGGCTCTAGCAGATAACCGTATCCTCCAGAGCCTTTTTCCAATTAAAAGTCATCAAAACAAACAAAATGCTGATTAATCAAAAGAATCCCTCAAATTATATCAAATAATTGGCCAAAAAATGGAGAGCATGTACAAGTAATAATAGACACACTGCCAGTAAACAAAAATTATTTTGCCATAACGGAACCATCGTTAGTGATTGAATTTGGTACAACTAAATCTAACTAATCAACAATTCAAGAAAAGAATGATCGAAAACTTACTCGCACGAGTACCAGAAGCACCAGCCCTTTGGAGCCCTTTCTTTTTTATGATGAAGCTTGATCCGATGAATGCACTGGAAGAGACGGCCAGACCAAATCCTAGAAGATTAGCAGTATACATGACGATGATGATGCAACAAATCTTGAATTTGACGACGACCACCAGTTAGAGATGAAAGTTTCATCTGAAAATTCGTCGGAGATCTGGTATCTCTGACAGAAATTGGAATTCCTAAAGACTGCCAATTGGGTATTTTGTCATCCAATCGATTACAAATGTGTTTGTACTTGGTGTTGGTATCTTGCAGATGCAATCGGACAACATCGGCTTTGTTTTCACGTACTAACAGTTTTTTTTTGTTCCCATTTAACGACGAGTGACCAGCGACGGCAAAACAAGCGGGTTGGTCAGGTAGGGTAACCAATGGGAGTCAATACGGACATGTTGCGTGTCACAATGAGTACAAGAAAAAGTATATGTATATAATACATACCCGTTGTAATGTAGCGGATGTAAATTTCCTTGCAAATCATGTATAAAAAAAAGTTAGATGTCGTTTACTAAACACTTATATAGCAAGTGTTTATTGGATAAATTTTTTCATTGGATGAACATGACAAGAGTCAAGAATCTTACTGGGTAAGAGCGATGAGAATGATGAAAAGTCTTACACGGTAGGTGAAGATGACGACTTTTACCCAAACAAGCGCTTACCCGATAAATTGTTGATTTCAATACGTTTTGATGTATTAAAATCTTAAGCATCAAAATAAATTATAGTGTTGAATCATATCGATAAGCACTTAACGGGTAAGTATTTAAGTAAACAACCCCCAATTCTTAACCTTCCCACTCCCAAACAGATCTCATGCATAGCCCAAAAATCGTATTATCACCAAATTAAATCTTTCAATAATACATCAAGTCATATTGGGCTTTAAAACGGAATAATTAAATCCCAAGAGAGTATTGAAAGAACCCTTCTCCTGATAAACAAACAAAAAACATCCAACTCATCATTGATAAAAAAAATAACGAATTTCAATTCATGGTGCAACTCAAAACACAAAATCTATAAATAAAAAATTCATAGTAAAATGGAACAAACTTAGTTCACGATTCACCATATGAAAAAATGTAAATTTATAATTTATCAAACAAATAACTCAATTTTTGAAATCTGAAAAATATACAAAATTCTAGAATAGACAATACTTTTGTCCTTATAAATGTTAATTGAGTTGTAACAGATACAGATAAATGTCTTTCATTGAAACATCAAACTTGTTTCAAGTATGAACTCAACTTAATCATAGCCCTATATAACATATATGTATATAACACAAATACACACATATATTTTGTACAGCATCAAGCTTCTTTTTAAATAAAAAAGGTTAAATCATATGATAGCAATGTACTTTAAGTCTTCAACTATAAAAATAAAATGATTCACTTAATTTTTTATTATTTTTGTTTATTTAAATTGAAAAGTGTTTACTAAATGACTAAGGGGCTGTTTGTTTCCCTCTTAATGGTGACATTATGTTTTATTTACGGTAACTATTATTTGTACAACATTTGATATAATTAAAAACTTTTATTTTTATTTACTTTGTATTTTATTAGTTTAACATTTTCCACAAAAGTTAATATTAATTTTTTTGGCAATACTTTTACGACCATGTTCCTGAATGAGCATGTTGTTAAAAAAACTTTTTGAGCTTGGAAAGTGAACTACTTCGTTAAACCTTTGTCAACGCTTGATTAACATTTTTGCAAATCCTAATAAAAACCCATTTTGGGTTACAAATAATTTATGTTAAGTTATAAAAATACAAATTTTAAGAAAAAAAAAATATTAAAATTGCATAGGTCGGTGCATGATAACATAGCAGAGTAAAAGAAACTTCACCTAATGAATGCAGTTGCGGTACATAAAAGGAGGATTTTTTTTTTCTATAGGATAGAGAATGTTGTTGATATGAGTTCAAACCAAAAAAACACTTGAACATTTAATCAAGTTGTTTGTATTCGTGAGTGGGAACGAATATGGGGACCAAAATTATAACAAATATAAAATACCATTCACGGCAAACTTTCACCGTACTAATCTTCCGCTGAGTCTGAAGTACTCCCGATTGAACTTGGGTGCATGTGAATGTTCTCAAAAACATAATCAATTGTTTCTTGAATGCCAAGACGAAATGGAGATGAAGAGATTGGGAAAATAAAGAGAAGGAGAGATCAAAATTAAAGCAACCGAGAGAAAAGAGCATAAAAATAAAAATATAAAATTACCATTCTAGTCAAAATTTCACCGTACTAATCTTCCGCTATGAAGTAGTCCTGGTTGAACTTGGGTGCGTGTGAGAATGTTTTCAAGAACATAATTAATTGTTTCTTGATAATAATTTATGCCAAAACTAAATAGAGATGAAGAGATTGAGAAATAAAGAGATGGAAGGATAAAGAGTTAGAGAAGGTAAATCAATTACAATAAAGAATAAAAGGAATGTCTATCAAGAAGTTGAATAATCTAGGAGGTTAAACTTAAGTTGAACGCTTATCAAGTAGCTGAATAGTTTGGGAGGTTAAACTTAAGATGGATGCAAAATTACCAAAAAACTGTAATTTATTATGAAAAATTCAATTTGCCTATAGGGGCATAATAGTCTTTAATTTGATTAGTATTTTAAAAAATAAAAAACAAGAAAAAAAATGTAAAGAAGCTCCTAACTTTTATAAGAAGCCACATCATACATAGTGGTTTTTTCTTTAATATATATATAAAGATTACTTGAAAAAAGTTGAAGCAAATTTATGGTTCAATTCAATTCACGGTTAATGAAATCAGTTTATTTACTTCAAAAGAATGAAATAATTATAAAAATCAAGATGTATATACCCACCATAGACAAAATTGTCTATCCAGAACAAGCTTTGAATCAACCACAAAGGAAGGCCTAATTTTGAAATCTCTTAAAACATTTCGTGTATAGGGGTAATTACTATGCATATTAATAATGTAAACCCGCATATGCCTCATCAAGGATAAATGACTTAAAATGTCAAGCCAAGTAAGAAGAGCCCTAGTATTCCAGTAATAATCTTTCTCCAAACAAATCATAATAAAAGCCCAAGACAATATCCTCGACTTCCACGGTTACTTTAGTAGAGTTAGAAACATCCAAATCTTTCAAATCATTACAAGCAACACTAAAGTTCATTTTTGTTATTAAAAACTCCACTGCTCAGCAACAATCCATTCAATTAAAGCTTTATGGTACAAAACACATGCTTTATGTAAAGGATGATGCCATTAGCATCATCATCATCATCAATTCTGATCAGCTTGACATACAACATCAAAGTCATAAGGATAATGACACCATAGTCCATGCTCAGACCATCAGAAACATCTTTCTTAGTTTGGTATTGATAACAGATGCCTATTACAACATTCAAAAAACATTTATTTGACTGAGTAGACCTGCAAAACCAGAAATAAATAGCAATAAAAATAGTTTGTCTTGGTCCCCATCGTAATCTTAATGAAACTCATCATAATTGTCCATCCCATAAATATCTCTTTTTTAGTTAAAAGTTAAGTGCAAGTGGAAACACTTGTGTCAAAGCAGCATGCTCCACAACCCTCATGTCGCTACGTAGCACCACATCAACTGCCTAGTATTGTCTTTAACTAGAGGTTTTCCCAAACACTGAAATTACTGAAATCTACAATCATTAACTCTATGAGATGACCACAACTCTTAACAATCATACAACTTTGACTAATGTACTTTTAGAACTATAATTACAAGTTCCTATATCTTTTGATACATATCAAACTAAGAAAATGATATTGTAAACCTAGCTCAACTATGGTCAGAACCTGCCCAAAACGAAGTTTGATGTGACTGTGATCCAATCCAAACAACTATTAGAAAATTGACCAAAATAGTCAATGCTTCAACATTAATTCACTTTATAGCCACTTTTTAAATGTAATTCATGAAATAGCCACTTTTTATGCAAAGGTCTTACACCATATTGTAATTCTACTTCTACAAATTAATGAAATTTCAACTGAAGTACTTTCTTCATCTTAGGGGTTGTTTTTTTACCTTTTAATAGTTCCATTAAGAGGCAGTCTCTGAATCATTAAAAGGTGAATCTTGTTTGGCAAAAAAAGAGCATGCCTCTTAATGGTTTTAAAATCCTCTGAATGATTTTGTATCATAGGTCTTTCTTAACCATTAAGCGCACTGATTTCATTATAAACAATTATATTTCAATTTTTACTATGTCATGAGAGCCTCTTAATCATTTTGGCCACTTAATCATTCTGCACTAAATCATTCAGCAACTGCCAAACAGCCCCTTAGCACTGAAAATATCCCTCAAAACAGTAAATGGCACAACATAATTTATGAGTTCCATTCTTTTTTGCTTATACTTAGAAAATTTCGTAGGTTGTTTTGTCATCATCAAATAGGGGAGATTGTTGATCCAAACTCTCTTGGTGATTTGATGATTATCATTTCCTCAATGCATGTTTTAGTTTTATTTCATTTTTAAGTTTCATCGATCAGTACTGAGTCTGTTTAGTGATCGGTGAACACATGTGTAACCTTTTAGAACCTAAGTACCTTGAAGACAAACTCACATCAAAGAACTATAACTTTCTCAAGGAATAGTCTAAGGTCGGTTAGAAAATAAACTTCAGCGACGTCGAAGAAGTAGATGAAGATAAAGATAGTCTACTCGTTATCTGAAATGGTGTTCAGTGATACTACGACTATATGAATGATATATGAAGCTTGACCAAGTTATCAGCTATACCTGAAGAAGGCCTCAACGATTAAACTAATGTTGGATCAATATAGTTCATATCAAGATTATTTTGTCTTATCCACTTGTATAGAGAATTGGAGAAAAGATAATCTTTACTATACATTGCATAAGCTTATATAGGTACAATATATCGGTTACAAAATCAAAAGGGCTAGAGTTTAAGGATCACAATTACAATGATTTAGGAGTTACAATCTTGATGGGAGTTACAAAATATAATGGAAGCTAATTGATAGCTAACCATGTTTATCCCGGACATGCCCCCACAAGATGGATGGCGGTGACGACAAACCGATCTTGAACATTAACATAGTGAACCTTAGTTGACTTAGAGGTTTTGTAAGAACATTGGCTAACTGATCACTAGTAGGTACATGAATGACACGCATGGTGCCATGTTGAACTTGCTCGCGAACAAAATGATACACAAGAGCGAGGTGATTCATTCGAGAGTGAAAAACGGGGTTAGCACTAAGTTGAGTGGCACCCATGTTGTCACA